GAATATTACGGTGTCATGAAAATTAGCATTTGTAGTTAACATCCTCTTAAGTGGAATAAAAAATTTGCCGGGGAGAAAACTTACGGTTTGACATGAAATAAAAAATGTTGAAGCTATCAGCGCGCTGTTAACAACCGACTACTTCGACTCGACGAAGCTGAATAGCTTATGTACAGTTCTGGGTTACCCAAGTCCTTCGGGTTCAGGGAAACGGGAAAACGCCCCGAGGGGTTCGTGTGAGAACCAAATTTGGCTATAGAGGAGCACCGATTAGTTTTGGACCACCCTAGGACCAGTTCTCAGCTACCTAGATCGTATTATTAGGAATGGGCAGAGAGCGTCAACAAAGCCATTGTCGAATCTCCGGCGCAGGATATATTCCACCTCTCAATTAGCTAAAAGGCATGTAGATACTCCGGAATAATAGACAACAGAAGCACTAACAGAACGAAGAAAATCCCTCGATCGCCACAGAGGTCATTTTCCAAATTGAATACACCCCCCAAAAATTATTTGAAAATAATTAGGCAAAGCCGTATCCACATCCGGTGTTGAAGTAAATCAATTTTCCCCCGGACCTGCCTCAACCAAATAATCGGTACCCATTTCACTTAATTCTAATCCTGAAGACTTGCTCGATAGTTCAATTATTAGTTATATATAGTTCAATTATTCCAAAACCATTCTACATCACTTTCACCCACAGGTGAAATTCCCCTAAATTCCCCTAATTACTAAAATCATCACTCGAATGCATTCCAGTACCGACAACAATTCCAGGATAATAACATCGACGGATTATACAAATATCAAAACGGACGTCTAATTAAAAGCATCCACCAGCAGAATCCGAGCTTCCTTACCCTTTAAGATTTCCTGTACTCCCCCTCTCTTACATTTCTTGCAGAAAGGGCAGAGAAAGCTCGAGAGGCGAGAAAATAAAGGAATTAGCGCCTCAAGGATCGCGTGCCCCGGCCACGCAGGATACCAGGACGACCGGATACCCTGGGAGATCCCGATGGAAGAAGACAGCTCCATTTTCTCGTTAACGGGACACCTGGGGCTTTCCTTCCGGAAGAGCGCGTCCCGGAAACGATCCGACCTTTCGCACCTGCGCGTAAGAGCTGTCGGAACGCGACGCCGCCTCTTCCTCCGGGATGCCCTAAGGGGAAATATATATTATATAATAAATATATATGTATATACACATATATATCGTCGGGATATATCCGCGCGAAGTGGAACGAATCACCTCCGAATCCGACCGACAGCGGAAAAGAGCCGAACGGGATGGCGAAATTTGATTTTTTTTTTTTCACAAAAAAGGAAGAAAAAAAAGAAACGTGCTTTTGGTTCCAGTCTAGGATAAATAAAGAAAAAGATTCCGTTTGAAAAATGTTATTTCACGAGTATCGCGGCTATTCCTTGGAGCCTCCATAAACACATGTTAAAGTGTCGGATAATTCGGTGCACCCAGTTTGGAGAAAAGTTCTGTAATATCTTCGGTATTGTACTAAATGGCATACCCCACCTGTCGTTTACGTACAATCATTATAAATGAATCGAAGTGAAGCTCCGGGAATCCACGGGATTCGCGGTTTCCGAGACCCTGATTGACTGCAGAGGGACCCCCTGCGCCATCTATGATTTCCAGGTAAACTAAATTTTCACTCCCAGGCGTCGTATTACTTTTAGCATAGCAGCGCATAAGACACTTTTTTTACCTTTATCGCCCACCTGGAGGAGAGACTTCCGGAGAGGAAGAGACGCTCCCGCGTCGCAGCGCCGCGACGCGCCGCGCCGGCAGAAACGAGAAGCGGTTTTTCAAGCGATCCTCCTAAACGGGCAAGCCCAAGGCTGACTCTAAATGGAGAGCCACTCGAGAACTCACCCAGCCGAGCCCTGATCGGGCCAGACGTAAATACGCGAGTACCCCGGGTGTGTTCGTACCTCGATTTATGCCGACTCCAAAGACCCACGGGATTTCGAGTACGATGGAAACGCAGTAGAGGTGGCATTAAAGTGGCATCCGAGGGGTCAATCGTTTCTAAAACGCTCCTAGGAACTATATATCGAATTTGATATTTCACCATGCAAACGTGGAGGCCCTAGGGAATGTCCTGAAACCCAAGGGATTTCTTTTATCCGTTTAGAAACATTTCTTTTTAATTTCTTACAAAGTATGAAATTTCACGGGTGTCAGGACCTACGTTAGCGCCACCATGTTCGCGTGGGGTAATCTCGAACGATTCGGCACCCACGATTTACGAAACCTTCCTACAAACTTAATACATCGTTTATTACGTATTTTTGACGAGCGTGCTCACTTCTCGCATCTGAAAGTCCTTAATCAAGGATTACTTAACTCACGAATAGAGTTAATCTCCCGATGTCGAGTGGTTATCCGACACCGGATTTAAATCTCCGGTTAGCTGAATTTACGTCGGTGCAACGTGAATTTATAACTAATCGAAGATTAACAAATCATAACTGAGATATTTCACGGTAATCGCCGGCCTACGGACGTCACGGCTAAATTCAGGCTGAAATCCTTCATAAAGGATTACTTAACTCCCGATTAGAGTTAATCCCGCGATATCGAGCGTTTATCTGACACCAGATTTAAATCTTCGGTTAGCTGAATTTACGTCGGAGCGCTATGAATTTCACTAATCCGAGATTAACTAATCGAGTTGGTTATCATAGAAATTGGGCGTTAATCAATTGGCGTATCTAGGTCTTTAGCGCTGTATAAACTGCTTTACATAGGGGCGATTTAAAAAGTAACAAAATGGACGACCGGTGAAAGTTCAAATTCGAGTTCGCGAATCGATCGCTGGCCTCGAAATCCCGTTTACGGTGCACGGATTTCCATCGCCGGGCGCACGCAACACGTCCACGGCAGCTGCAGCTGCAATTATGCGACCGGTCCGAGTGGCGTGCGTAAATTTCGTCGAAAGTGTTTCCCGGGAGTAGCATCGCCCCCCTCGATGGATCGCCGATTCGGATCGATCCAAATCCGCCGGTGGAAACGATCGAACGATCGCGTGTTTCGCCGCAGATTTATCGCGTGCGGTTGAATAGACGCATCGCGTATCCTTCCAAACGGTGCAACTTTTCTTCAAAATACGTGTCGAGAGCTCTTAAACCAGTATACATACCCTAATCCGAACAGGATCATTAAATCGCCCGTCATATACACCGAGCATATATCGTCTACGTCTCCATCGTACTCCAAAATCCGGGATTTATCGGGTCCAGATTAAATAAATCGCATTAATAAATGCGCAGATTCGATCCTCAGTATCACGACCGACACTTAAATTCGGATTTAGGAGTACGGTGGAGACGTAGTCACCGTCATAGTTACATAACAGTGAAATAACACGACTTTTCTTCAAAAGATGTGTCGAGAGCTCTTAAACCAGTATACATACCCTAATCCGAACAGGATCATTAAATCGTCCGTCATATACACCGAGCATATATAGTTAGGTTCCACTTAAGAAAAAAGTGGATCTATACAAAATGTACGGAGGGTTAATTTCTCCCGTTTACAGCATCAATCATCCTGTATGGGTTAATTAGTTAATCCCCAGATATCCCTTAATCGTTTCCAGCTTCGACTAAGCCGAATGCGTCTGTAAACTCGGTTAACTTCGGTTTTAGCACGTTGTACACGAGAATGTCTCTGAAGTTCACGCGCTATACGTTCAATCTACCTTAACATTCATCCCTTTCGGACTATCGGCCCTAACCTATTCTGCTCGTTAATTTCAAAGATTGACGTGCAGTAACTGTCCGCCTTGGCAATCCTCCCTTGTTTACGCGGCAGTAATTAATTAATTGCCGGTTTAATTTATTATTGGCGCTATCGAGTCGCGAGCCTCTGGTGGCGCGGTAATATGTACGACCGTAAAGCTGAAATTCGGGGAGTACGTCCTGGAATAATGGCCCTTCCGGTCCCCCCTCGAGAGCTTCGGAACTTTCCTCGAGAGCCACATTATTTCTGACGTTTTATCGAAAATCTACTTTCCACCTCCCGCCCTACCGGGGCTTCCCTCTCGGCCAAGTTTGCTAGTAAGTCAGATGATCCTAGTAGATAAGTATTAATGTGGTAATAAGTTTGATAAAGGCGGAATCTATGAGACCTCCGGTACATAATACACCGGTTTTATTGACGCAGAAAACGAAAAACCGGCACCTGATCTGTGGCGACATCTTTATCGACCCAGGGAACGAGACTCGCACTTTTGCACGCGTAAATATTAACATTAATGGATCCTAATCCCGGATTAAGCTGTTTTAACCTCCTGCGGAACATTAAGTAGTCTTGATACCGACCAGGTCGGTAACACCGATATCTAACTGATCGCTGTACATTGAGAATGTACTAAAGATTCAAATGGTAAATAATTGGAACGTACAAATCGAATTGCGGGACCAAAGTTAGATAATCTAGGGAGAAAACACACCAAAACGTGTCGAAAGACATCGACATTCCCGAAAACGTATGAAATTGTTCGGAAACATTCGAGAGCACTTGGAACCGCACAGTACGTTTTAAAAATGACAGCAGTTAAAGAGATCAGTCAACAATAAGTAATCTTTGGCAAAAATAAAGTAAAGCTCGAAATGATCTGAAAGTGACATCGACCAAAGAGATATATCGATATCAAACAAACATCGAGTAATATTTCTGTATTGACGAGACATCTATTGGCAAGATGACGAACCATTATCCGATCTGGTGCGCCATCCATACCTAAGGTAAAAAACTTGACTTCTATGAAGCAACAATGTCTCAAACGGTAAAAGCTTACAAATTTAAACCAATGAATTCCCTTTGCAATGGATAGATGGCGGGGTAGGTAGTTTCCGGCATTTCCAGGATTACCGACAAGGGATAACAAATTTGTAGAAGTAGTAATAAACAAAGTAGCTTCCGTTTCTAACTCCATGGAGTAACAATAAACCAGCAGCGATGGGAAACTAGGACATACAAGTACATGACTAAAGTTTATCATTTTCACCAATCGTACAATACAAGGTTACATAAGGGAACCAATTACAGAATAGTATCGACGACATTCTACACTCAATACGTTACTTCATCTACGCAAATGAAAACGCTAAATGAATAACTTATATCCTCCGTAATTTATCACTCCTCACTGATTACATCCCATCAAGGAATTGGACAAGTACTGCCGATTCTGTGCTCATTCTCAACTGCAAGAAACATTTTACAACCGAAGTTAAACCATCATCAACCGTAGTTCCAAGTGATAAGAAATTATCACTGCGATACGGCGTTCCAATAACACGAGTTCAGATGTTGAGAATTACTCGAACACTTCACACCGCGATTCAGCCATTGCGCCAACGCTAAACGTCATGACCTGCACATTGCCATAGATAATCGCGTTTCCCCGATCAACATCGAATGTTACAGAAAACTATCCCGAATAAAAGTTGTCCAGAACACAATCAGGAATAATTTTTATCCGAGCCATGTTTCGCAATAACGCGTCGTTAAGCCAGCAAACCGCATCGACCGTAAACGCAACGTGGAGTCACGACGTCCAACCGTCGCAGCAGCAGAGCGCGCCATCTCTGCGAAGTGGTTACAGATACGGGGCAGAGTAGTTTACATCGATGTGCGTCAATCCATTACCCATGTTAAGCATGAATAACATATAGAAGACCGGCCTTTGCAATGTCGAGCCCATCTCAATTCGCGATACATCATACATTAGACAAGCAACCTCTTCGGCGACCCAAGTAGCAGGGTCCTCCACGTGTCCCTCTCTTCGCTGAACGTAGGACTATCATGACATCGACATAACATTACGCAAATGTCGCACCAGTTATAACAACAGCGATGATCATATTGTCTAGAGGTGCTACCGGATTACGGCGATGATGGTCGATCGCCGTTAAACGCCACGCACAGTTGAAGACGTTTACTGATCCTTGGACTGCATGTACTTGATAAGGTCGATAACGCGACTGGAGTAGCCGAACTCGTTATCGTACCAAGAGATCAGCTTGACGAAGGTGTCGTTCAGAGGAATGCCAGCTTTGGCGTCGAATATGCTGGAGTGGTTGTCGCCAATGAAGTCAGAAGAGACAACGTCGTCCTCCGTGTAGGCGAGTATACCATCAAGGGCTCCACCTGGTGCAGCAGCTTCCTTAACCTTGGCCTTGATGGCGTCATAATTGGCAGGCTTGCCAAGTCGGACTGTCAAGTCGACCACGGAGACGTTGGCAACCGGGACACGGAAGGCCATTCCAGTCAGCTTTCCATTCAAGGATGGAATGACCTTTCCTACAGCCTTGGCAGCACCAGTTGCAGCGGGGATGATGTTCTGAGCTGCTCCACGGCCATCACGCCACAGCTGGGGAAAAAATCGTTGTTCAAGGAAGATACTTATTAGATGTGAAAGTGGCATTTGGTTCAATCATTCATGAAATTCTCCCTGGATTGGCTGTACAGAATCGTTCCAACCTTCACAACGTGAATATGGAGATTATAAAGAAGGTCCTGACGCCCACATAGTCTGATAAATATTAAAGATATTTATAAACATTTTTTCAAAATTGTATTCCATGGGCATCAGGTATCAGGTATCAACATGGAGTTTCATAAACAATTGGCCCCTCGGATGCCACTTTCATATCACCTTATTGCCCCAGATTGCATGCGAAACAACTTATAAGACACGTTGTTGTATCCACCAAGAGGTAGATAACAAACCCCCAATTTGGTAACACTATTTGCCATCCCTTTTAAACCTAATGGAGTGTAGAGTTGACGAACCTTCCCGGAAGGACCATCAACAGTCTTCTGGGTCGCAGTGGTGGCGTGAACAGTGGTCATCAAGCCCTCGACGATCTCGAAATTGTCGTGGATGACCTTGGCCAGAGGTGCCAAGCAGTTGGTTGTGCAAGAAGCATTGGACACGACTTTAAAAGAGGGATCGTACGCGTCCAAATTAACGCCGCATACAAACATGGGCGCATCAGCCGAGGGCGCGGAGATGATCACCTTCTTGGCTCCACCCTCCAGATGAGCCTGCAAATCGGAACGAACAATCATTTCTGTTTCATAAATGAGCAACCATCGTTACAATCGTTGGTGAAAGTATTTCCATGCATGCCCATTTGAGGTGTCTTCCTGGTATGACGAAATATGTCGTCATACCCGGTTAACGGGTTAAACCCCGCGGAAAGAAACAAAGGACAAATATTGGAAAACAAAACAGTCTCAAGACCCAGTGGGACCCTTTGACATGGAAAGATCATCTTCTCCAGCTTCCGGAGTATTTTCCAATCCCGACGGCGACTCTTCGTTAACCGGATGCTCTTCCCGAAAAAATGGCGACCTACCGAGGCCTTCTCGATGGTGGTGAAGACTCCGGTGGACTCGACGACGTACTCGGCTCCAGCCTTTGCCCATGGAATAGCCTTGGGGTCTCGCTCGCTGAATACGGCTATCTTGTTGCCGTTCACCACCAGGCATCCATCCTCGGCCTTGACCTCGCCCTTGAACCTGCCGTGCGTGGAGTCATACTTGAACATGTAGACCATGTAGTCGAGGCCGATGAACGGATCGTTAACGGCAACCACCTGGAAAACGTGAACGACAGTGATCACATGGTTCGCGGCTCTTCCGGTGCTTTCTCCTGGGTCTAGGATTCAGGCATAAGAGCTCGTGTACGCAAAACCCAATGAAAAAGCCGCACAAAACGCCCCAAGCGTCCATTTTTCCGGGCACGGTCCTCTACGCTCGTCAATCCCGACATGGGGGACGGTTTTGCAAAATATGACGGTAAAGTGCATTAAGAAGAAGGACAAAGAGGTAATTTAGACAAGCTTAGAGTAGATCGCGTAAATTTTCTAGGGTGGACATCTGCATAACTGGAAATTTTTGTGAAAATGGAGGGTCATCTTGAAGTGAGATGCGGATGGACGGGAAAAACAAAATGGCGGCTCTCTTCGGCCTTCTCGCCTTACCTGGCCCCCTCGTTCCAGGGACGCCCTGAGCACCAGACGCCCGATGCGGCCGAATCCGTTGATTCCGATTTTGCTCATGTCCGCTATGGAGCTGCAAACAAAACGAATCCCGGTGAAACTAGAGGAAATATCAAGCTCCCTCGTGAAGCGACACTATCCGGAAGGAATTCAGTATACGCAACAATTATGTAAACAATTAAATATACACATTCAATCCCAATGTCATAATTTTGAACTGGTGCCACAAGTCTTATTCACTATTTAATCTCAACCTGGATCATCTTAATTGCGCCAAATACTTTACAAAAAAAAAAGCAATTCTCAAGCTCAAGTGAACGGGAATTTAAAAATTAAACAATAGCAGTCTCAACAGGTTATTAAAAATAAATTGTATGGACAGCTCTCAGAATCGCTGTATCTCCCTGCAGAAAAGGAACCATTGGAAAAAAATAAAAAGTACATGAATAATAACGAGTAATTATTTTTCTCGACTTGGTGCCAGTCCCATAGGCATCGAAATTATCATTATAACTGTTAACATACATTTCAATTCCATAGGCATCCTAATAATATCGAATTGTGATACATTTCAATACCATAGGCGTCCTAATAATAGAGAGCAGAAGAGGCAGAGGTCGTTCAAGATCGACAAGATGGCGCGCGCACGTACGCGTACTTTGATAGTGACCTTGAACCATCTATCTCCTCCTCTCCACCCCACCGACCGTAACTTTGAAATCAGCAATTGCATTCTTATCATAAATATATTCAAACGAATTATCTCTTCAGTCTACACCAGTTGGTGATATTAAATCATTAAGAGAAAATGGCCCACGGTAAAATGCAACGGTCAACCACTGGCGACGTAACCCGGGAACGACTTACAGGAATCCGTAATTCAAAGAGATTTCATAAGATTTTGGCTTTTTCCAGATATTAAGTAACAATAGAAAGACATATGACGCGTTGAATTTCAGCAATTGCAAATCTCTTCGCACCCTAATGAACAATCTGCCTGCCTAGAGCGAACGATTTTACCGTCGAATGAGTCATAAACAGAAACTCGTTACGTACTCGGCATTCCACAATGGAAATGAAATAAACGGCAAAGATTTCACCGAAGATCAAACGTAAAAATATATGACAAACCACTCGAGCAGATTAGGTCTCCACATATGCAGATTACTTTGCCGACCATGTAACATACGCGTGGTAGCCAATGCATATTAAACCAAAACTCAAAGATACGTTTGCAAGGAAAGCGTGTAATTCATAATTATTCACAATTAAGGTACAGAAGTAAAAGCCGGGGAAAAATTGCGCGAACCTTACACCTCGCTTCACAGAAGTCTCGGCGTCTAAAACGGACAAATTATAACAATTCTAGCGTTATTCCGGCTTAACCTGTCATAGAATATTAATAAGCCGGGTGTAAGGTTAAATCGAAAAATAGGACATTACTGGTTCGTTGTAACAAAAACCCTCGCGTCCACGGCATGCACAAAATGAACGCCGAGTCGAGTGAACGTGACTCGTGATTCCGCACGTTCTGGGTAAGCTACTAAGTACCTCTGATGATAAACCGGATTCTTTCTCCCTTAAAGTGCACTAATGCCGCTAAAACAGAGTCTTGTAGCAGATTATGAGAGCATAGTACGAAAATTAACGACGAATCGAGCGAACGCACCCACGAGGTCGTCCTCCATGAAGAACGAGGCTACCATACCGGCACGTAACGGCCTGCTCGCGACTCTACTTCGGAAATCGAGGCCGATCCGTCATAACCTCATAAAAGGAGGATTTCACCGAGATAAGTGATTGGGAAGTTGTACACTTACATTGGCAGTCAAGGAAGAAGAGAATAAAATACACGAGGTCCTCGCACAACACACTAACACGGCGGGCGGCGACGGAGTAATGTCAGTTGGAGGGCAGACGGCGATAATATAACCCGAGCGACGTTACCCGCGTGTGCGCGGTGCGTTCGGCCGGTTCGGCTAGGTTCGGCCAAGTTCGGCGGAGCTCGGGTACACTGGCATTCATCGATGGTTTCCTCGCGGACCTATTGCCCTCTCCGGCCGCGCCGCGTACTAGCGGCATGAGCAGCGCGGAATTTGAATCGCCCATTCGCATTCATTTTTGTAACCGATATTTACACAATCCACGATAAAATTATGTTTCAAAGAAAACTCAAATTTTAAAGATACCTGTAAAGGATCACATTTTAATTGGCAATCATTTATACATATAAATAATTAGACACTAGTATTAACAGGGCATTAGTTGTACGGTATCTACGATGAAAGTTCATCGTATTTTAAACTATAAGATTTATATACAGTTATTATAAATTTGTGATAATTTAGTAGAAGCCGTATAAAAACGTACAAGTGAAAGGTTCGTGATAGATATATACATGGATACGTGGTTAAAAGTTAAGTGGCAAAGACGCAAAGTTCCGCAATAACTTTCATCACGCTTTGATGCGAGAATCTTGAAACGTATGTCAGAGCCAATCATTTCCATGTATACATGTATTAAACAGTTTCAAGTTGTAAATAACAAGTTACTTGCAGCGTCATGAGAAATGAATCCTCAGTTTGGGGCCAAAATTCATTCTGGTGATTGTTTATGTAGTCCCCAACCATGGAAACATTTGGTAAACCGACGGGACTCTTTCCCTCTGGCTGTTAAAAATAACTTACGAGGCTTTTCAGGTTGCTTCACTCGTAAATGCTGTATGTACACCTAATGTTTGAAATTCTCATTAAGGTAACGGAATCTGTTTGCTTGCATAAAAATGAAAGAAGTTAAAATATAAACATTCATAAACAGATAAATAATACAATACCTGAGCAGATTTGTAGGCTAGTTTAATTTCCACTTCTGAACAGCGTGTACCTAACCACAAAAATACCTGTTCTCCATTGTCGAGTATCATTATATCTTCGTCAGCTAGATCATCCTAAAGGGATATTAATCGTTTAGATATTTTGCATCATTCCGTTATACCGTGAAAAACCTACCTGACAAAAATCAGTACACTTTTCACTAATGGTAAAGTATCCTTTTTCATTGGAACACCTGAACAATCTAGTATAGTTCATGAACTCTGCATCGCAATCGTAAGGTTTTTTCCCACCAAGTCCGACCCAGAAGAAATTGTCAGGTTCCTCACCTTCGTTTAATATTTGTAAACTAATCCAAGGCTGTAATAAAAAACAGTTATTCCCTTTTCTTTGCCAGTGCGTAGCACAGCAATTTGCATCTTACATTGTTAAACATTTCTTCTGCTATTTCTTCTGCCAATTTGACTTCCTCGATGTCAGCTTTCGCTCCGATCCATACGTAAATAATCCCCGTCTCATCGTCGTTGTTGAAGGGAACATTTAAAATATAGCTGCAATATTAATTAAATAAGGTCCCACATTCAGTTTTAAATTAATACCATTGTGAATGAATCTTACCAAAACGCAGAACTTAACAAACTGGCGTCGGGCCGGATTTGAATTAGTCTGGTACACAAAGCACTCCCGTTGCTTCGTAAATGATAAAATTCTACTTGGTTGTTACTGGCAGATTTAATCTGCTTACGCTTGCCTTGATGTATGATGAACTTTCTCTTAAAGTGTGCCATGAATTTCAGATTTTCCTGCTGTTGATGAGTCCTCACCACTTCCAGCTTCTCACCGAACAGAGCTTTGAACTTTTTCTGCAGACTGGTGAGGTTAGATGTTTAGAATCAACGCAACTTCTGAGATGTATTACAGATTACAGTTTAGATACCTGAAGGTAAACGTAAGCCAGCCCATGTTCCCTGCGTCTCTGCCTTGCCAGAAATACACCATACACTGAAAGTCATCTTCATACTGTTCATCGCCATCTTCATTTTCTACTACGTCCAGAGGCTAAAGACAAGATGACACTTTACAGACCATTTTAAAAAAAGAACTCAATACACATTCAATTCGAGCCCGTAATTATAAAATTGGTGTAAATAATATATATATGAACAAAATGAATTTGTCTTATTTTGTACCACGGACATTTAAATTGACGTGATAGTTCTCTGACCAAAAAAAAAAGACAGACCAGTTTCATAATTATGAACACTATATGTAATAATATCAGTACCACCCAGTATCGACACAAGAACACGTAGCAGTCTCCGCTATAAAAGTGCCCCAATTCTTCTTCTGGCAGCCGAACGAATTTCCTTCCTTCCAGCACGAAAGCTTCCATTGCTTCTAAGTCATCGTTCCATTCAGCCATCAATTGTTGGGCTTCGGTAGGTGACATCGAAGGTTGTCGGGGCATAAACAGTGCGGTGAGGTCAACCTGATGGAATAAAAATTAAGGTTATAATTCACTCATTATAAGAAATAACAGGCAATCCGATTTTTTAGTCTAACCTTAGTTTCCTGTTGTTTCGCCCACTTTGCTAGATCAACACCTGTCTTCGCAACAGATTCAGCTGTTCTAGTAAAATCAACAGCAATGACTTCATCCCAGCCAGTAAACTTTGATTTGAAGATCTGTGGAAATTTTCATTGATTAGGAGTTTCTTGTTTTTCAACCTCAATGAGAACTATCCAAAACATATTTTTATTGAATCGATAAATACCTGGGATTCCGCTCCTTCTTGAAGTCTGGTCACCATTGCGTAGACAGGTCTTTTAATCATACTGAACAGTTCTTGAGAAAGTTTAACCGCTGCAGCACGTACCAGCCTTGTCGACTTCTTCCCAAACCTAATTGCATGTTATCATTTAACAAACAGTGAAATTGAATTAATCGGAGTGATTACATAACTTCAATCCTTTCATCGATACTGCGACTCATTACTCACCAAACATACACGTCTAAATAGCAATCTAGAATGTATACGTTCCGACTGTTCAACAAAGTGTTAACTAATTTCCCATGGGGTACTTCCACCTGCGGTAATTCCAGATATCCCATGCCAAGTTTTACTTGATACAGTCGCGGCGTAATTGGTGTAAAATTAACGTCAACGTGTTCGACAATGGAAGTCGACTCAGGCCGTTCGGACAGTCCCAAGTATTTCCAGAAATCCTCCGACTCCAAACCCATCAGCTCGGTCAAGATACTTGCTTTGTTTTTTCTCTCGTTCTTGTTAATCTTCTCCGCCATTAATCTAGCTTTAGACTTTAAGGTGTTTCTTGCTGTCTTTCCATGCCATATGTATATGTTACCACCAGTGTCCAGAACGAATACGTAACAAGGATCCAAGGACTCGAGACATATCGACACAGGTTCCAAATGAATCGAAGCACCTGCTGTGTGAACTCGATACAATCTTGTAACAGCGGGCTGTAAAGAAAAAGTATTTATTGTTATTATTATTATTATTATTATTATTGTGAAGTATTATTAATATGAAAGACAATTATAAGTCTAAATTGTACTATAAAGAGGAGATAGTAAGATTTCATCCAGAGACCACAAATGTCATTTCGATAAATAATAAACTGCATTTTTAAGTGTAACGATCACATATACACAACTATTTCACAAACTCACTGTGTCTTCTACGGTGTAAAATCCAGAAGAAGTACGTCCACCTTCGATGTACGTAATGTTTGAATCGAAGAGCATAAGAAATTCGTCCGATTCATCTCCTTGTTCTTCCCTTATTGTCCGACATTGGGCTCCGAGGTAATTGCGTAAGTTAACCGAGTGTATCGCAGCACAAGCTCGTTTATCTAGCTATTTGTTAACAATAACCAAAGTACGATACATGGTACTCACAGGAATGCACTCGAGTAGGTGCATATCGAAGCTTAAATGATGTACTGTACTGACCGTAGCTTTTTCTCCAATCCAAAAATAAATTGCCCAAATGAGAGAGCCACCGTCGTCCACTCCAGTCTTCAGAACTATGTAGCAATCTCCTTCATAAAACTTCCCATGGGCGACTTCTTCGATTCGATTTGGCAAAAAGTTTTCTATCTCCCAAATCGAGAGGCCTGGTACTTGTCCAGCTTCCTCGTCGAAAAACTCGGAGTAATCGAGAGGAGGTTTTTCAAGAGTTTCGTCCCATCTTTTCGGCCTGTTAAATTTTAAGTTGTACAGGTTTCACATCATAAAAGCATTAGATTAAATATCGTACTCACTTTAACGACTCGACTTTAACATCCACGGATGCTTTATCTTTATTTTTCTCTTTGGCGATGTCTTTCATGCCCTGGAAAGGTTGATATACTGCTTTAGTAATACAATACTTTGGAGTGAGAGATTCTGAAATACTTCATGCAAGAGGTTATTCATTTTGTTTCGGAGTGAATACGACTCCATGAAAGTACCTTAAGAATTTTAGCTTGATCTTGATCCGCTTCTTCTTGATCTCGTCGTCGTCTCAGTCTCATTTTACGAGCAATTGGATCTTTACTGCTATCTATTTCACGATAAATTAAAAGTGTATGTACATATTAAGTTGCTTAAGGTGATATCAAAGTGGCATCTGAAGGGTCTTGTTCATAAAATTCTTTTTCGAACTAGATGTAATGAACTGTTCAAAATTGTGCCACTTGAATGCGTAGGCCTTTAAAAAGGTTCTGACACCCAAGATTCATGAACAATTGATCCTTCAATTGCCACTTGCACGTCACCTTAAACATTTTTATCTGAACAATTAACAAAATGAATACACACTAGCAGTCTGAATCGGCGCTGGTACATTTGCACCAGCAAGCCGTAGTTGATGTTGCAAAGAGAAGTCTATATTATAAAATTCGACTCCTGATCCCCTTTGCACCTCCGTTGGCTTTGGAGGCATGACTAAGTTTGGATTATCTCTTAAATCCAGCTGTTCCAAGTCTGTTAATAAATGAATGGCATCCGGGACCGTCACCAATCGATTCGATGTCAAGATTAACTGTTTTAACGATCCGCATCTACTAAAACAATGGAAATGTAGATATATATAAGATGAGTGTTCAATTCTATAAGTCATAAATAACAAAAAAAAAAAACTATTACAAAGTTTACCTGCACAATCCTTCTGGGATCATTTCTAAGCGATTTTTAGCAGCAGAAAATACTTGAAGAGATGACAATTTTCCTATGCCAGAAGGAATTCCCTCGAAATCTAGTTCATTGTCATTGAGGTACAATCGTCTCAACGTTAATATCTTACACAGGGAAGATGGTAAAGCCGTCAATTTATTTCGACACACGTTAAGTGTTTCCAGTTTTTGCCATAAGTCTGCACAAATAGAATATAATATAGGATTAAACAATTCTAAGGATTCTGTAATAATAATTCAACTGCTACTACCATTGTCGGAAGAAATTAAAGCAGTGTTCTGTGAAATTACATACCAATCGCAGCTGAAAGTTCGGTAATTTGGTTATCACTGATATTTAGACGTCGCAAATTGACTAGCGAATAAATTGCATCTGGAACTCGTGGAAGCGCATTTTGCGATAGATCGAGCTCTTGTAAATTAGTTAAGCTCTCTAAACTGGATGGAATATTGCTCAAAGTACGTTGTGTGTTGCGCATGTTCAGTGTAGTAAGATTCATCAATGACGGCAATTGCCTAAATGATGCAAAAGCAACACGAATGAAAAATTAGGAAGATACACAACATGCATAGTACTTGCATAGTACTTATTAAAAAAAGATGATACCTTAGCTGGAAATGGCCTAATGGATTATGGTTCAAATTTAACGTTTGTAAATTTCCTAATCTCCGCGTCTGGGGTGGTAGCGTTTCTAATTGATTGTTACTGAGATCCAAAAAAAGTAAGTCCGTCAAGTGAATGAACAAAGTATTTGGAACTGTTTCGATGCTGGAAAAGGAAACAGGGAAGCTTTAGAAGCATCAAAGGAAAATACAGAAAACTAATGGATCTTCTACATGAAGTGCGACTCACTGATTGTGACTCAAATTAAGATTTAGTAATGATCGAGCTTTCTCCAGCCCTTCCGGCACTTCCATTAGGTTATTGTGACTCATATCTAAAGTAGTCAATTCCTCTAAGTAAAAGAGATCCGATGGCACTCCACTTGCTTTAACATTATTGTGACGTATATTCAGAGTTCTAAGACATCCAAGGTCAGTTATTTCTCCGTAAAGACGCTCTAATTTATTCTTGACTAGAGACAGATGTTCCTGTAAAAGAATTTCATATTATTTCCAGAATTAAACAAAATATTACTAAAATATGAGTATGGCAAATTGAAATGTTTTGTTACTCAACCAATTTTAATAGTTTTCCCATCTCCTCTGGAATCTCTGTCAAGTTTGTCTTATCCAATTTAAGCCATTGTATCCCAGTCATCAAACGCACGGATTCAGGAAATTTGCCAAGCTAAGAAAATAAAAACCTTCTATTATATGCAATCGTTAATTTATACTTAAATGCGAAAACAATTTATCGTTATACAGTTAGAGATTGAAGCAAGAAGACGATTATTTATTACATACGCTAAAGTCATTACTGCTGAAATCCACCCCACGGACAAACGGTAAAACTCCTGTATTTGCCATTTTGTATACAGATTATCTAGGCACTGAAAATGGTATAAACATCAATTAAAATAATTATTTCAAGTTAATTCCTTGTACTATTTAATCCACAAATGTGTTCCAATTCCTCTTTACCTGCTTTCTATTTATATTTGTAGAAGAATTAAGGTAACATTTAGTATGTATGAAAATGCAGTCGCCTACATTTATCAGAATGGATCTCTTACAAAATTCCTAGGCGCTTGTAAATCATTGTCACATAATTCACTATTGAATCAAATGCAAAACTGGTCCACGTAAATTCAGATCATATTCTACAGTACTGAAAGTTACGTCCATTGAAAATAAGGCAGTGCATTGAAGATGAGTTGAGAGTCTCCTCCCGAATTATACACTCGTTTTCACGTGCTGCACTCTTGTGGGACAATTGTTTATCTCGCACACTCAAAATATCAATAATTAACCTCATTTTCTCTCTGTGTCGATCGAGACGTTCAGGATCTAATCAGCGTATATACGTATATATTAACGCGATTTACTGGATCCAGATCTGATAAATCCCGGATTTAGGAATACGATGGAGACATAGTCAGTGGCTCGTCCCTAGTTGCAAAACATAGAAGATGGACATTCCGCTATACTTTGATATGCTCTGATACAAATTATTTACCACGTTGTTCACTCGGCATCTTTGCCAGGATGATTTGAACTTGATTTAGCGGGTTCGAACGAACGCAAATGTAGCTCCTTCGATTCGTCGATACGTAAGCAGATATTGATTTAAATATTATATATCCAGGGAAGCCATCTTCTCTTTATACCAAGCCAAACCCGAGCTTTCCGAGGGGACACATCCCACGCGTGACATTTCCCCGAAGAAATCGAAGATGTCGCGTAATCATTCCTGAAGGAAGAAGATACCAGCGCGAGGAGTTCCTTGCGCAAAAAGGCAGACTTTCTCACTCGACGGAAATGACAACATACTGAATCTACATTTGGAGCGACCGAGATGATGTTTTGCTGCCTAAGGAACTGCTTCGATGGTTTTGGTTTCTCTGCGGCACAGGTTGCCAGAAGAGAGCCAAACCCGATTGCTTTGGACACAACTCACATGGGTAATTTACTCTCTCCAATAAACAGATTAACCTACGTGACTTTATCAATGTTTACATTGTTTACTGCTGTTGGATTATCACGGACCTGTGGTTATAAAATTTGAAGAATACTTACATTATAATCGCAAAACACTGATTAATCACTGAGACACTCGTTACTTAACATCTTACGAATATTAATAAATAAAAACCACTAGGCAAGTGATGTCAGTAAACTATGTTTGCATTTACATGTATATCACACATATTACCACATCTGACTCATATTCTAAGCAATGCCATTTTGCATAATCGAAACATGTTTCCCACAAGGATCGCTACCATTACTATCAGCTCACTTCGCAGAGAAACATAGGGTTAGAGTTTTCTGAAAAGACGCATAAAGTAGAAGTTCTTTATACTATTTCATGATCGATACTAACTTTAAAAGCAGGACCGTATTAAAACTTGATACAATTTTCCAGGCCATGAAGTAGTTATAGTGAAGAATGGCTCGAGAGTATGTGGCCGGGGTGGCACGTTAACTACTGCACCATTGGCACAGAGTAAAAGTTACTTCGAAGTAAAGGTCCAGCAGGGCGGAGTTTGGGCGGTAGGTTTGGCAACCCGATCTACAGACCTCAGTCAATCGACTGGAGGTAACGATGCGGAGAGTTGGACTCTCAACTCGGATGGAGTAGTTCGTCACGATGGGCAAGAGTTACACAAGATACAGAGCATTGTCCAAGAAGGAGACATCGTTGTAAGATCGAATAAGAGGCTACATTTATAATCTGCTTATAGTTAAGATATCTGAACTGAATTATATATTCCAGGGTGTATCGTATGATCACGTGGAGTTAAATTTTTACCTGAATGGCAAGTCGTTAGACGTACCGATACTTGGGATAAAGGGGACTACGTATCCAGCACTGTACGGTAAGTACTCCTATGTAACAAAAGAATTAATATCAGCTTATTGTTTTCGTCGTTTTTCCAGTCGACGATGGTGCCATACTAGATCTGATACTCGATAACTTCGCCCATCCTCCACCGATGGGCTTTGAGAAGATAATGCTGGAACAGTCTTTGCTCTAGCGAACACATTTGAGAAGATTTAAAACGAGCATTGAACAAACTGGCATACTCGATGGAACTTGCGCGATAATAGTCGTACCAGTACCACGAGTGAAGTCGGAACGATCAATTTAATGTAAGATTACCCTGTACGATAAGAGAGCATAATGTTACGGAGAAGATATGTTTATCATAATATAATAGCTTATAAAACACCGGACTACTGATCGAGAAGTAAACCCTTTTTCCTTTGTCGTAACAAAGTGGGTCCATGAGTTAACAGAACCTCGACTACCAAGACAAAGAACAGTCAAAATAGATAAAAAAACTCCTGAACAAAAATTAAACTTAACCTCATCGCAGGTTCCGTTGTGGTTATTTTGTACCTCGGAGTATTTAAGAATTCTCAGGATTTATTAAAAGGTATACATAATCAAATGTTTTAGATTAATTCACCTGCGAGCCTAGCTGTCAAGTTATAACTATATATTTATATATAATATATACTTTTATCTATATATAATTGCGGTATATTTAAATCTGAAATATATGTGTATACATATATATGTGTGTGTGTGAGTATGTGTATGACTCGCGTGTAATTTACATACATATACATATATATATATACGGTAAATCACTGAAATCTTATTCAATTAATGGTACTGTACATACAAAAGTAAAACAAGGTACAGAAGGCTTTAGGCCTGATGTTTGTCTCGTTAGGCTCGCTTCGTCATGGCTTATTCGTTGACCGAGGATTATTTATTCCATCTTCGTAATAAGAAAATAAGAAGGAAAAGAAGGAAATTCTCCGGCCCGGGTTCTCGCGGTTTAATTTTTCTTTTTTATTAACGGTCGAATTCAGCGGAACGCGGACTGGAAATGTATTAAAGCTAAACCGTCCTATCTGTATAACGTACTATCCACGAAGTAGTATAAGGAGATACAACGCCATTTGCGAAATTAAAAGCATTTTATGTCATTCACGTCGGTAGGAAATGTTTCGGTGACGTAGATCGTAGTTTCCTCGTTTCCCGCAAATGGCGCTCGCGTCGCTGAGATCAGCGAAAATCTGATATTCTGGGATCACTGTCTGTGGAACCGACCACTGGCGTTACGTCTCCTTATACTAATTCATGGTACTATCGATGATTTATTCTTGTGTGCACACATGTGTCAATCGTTACTGCATTCGTGCGCTCGATAATTGTACAATGAGTTTAGGGCAGACACCATTTTCCGGGACGCGATTTCACTTCCGATTCAGTTGACTCGAGTCAGGGTTGAGAGAAACCGTAATTCCTTTGAGAAGAAAAAAAAAAAAGAAATCACTGATTTCGTTTAAGTCACGATATTCTAAAACACCTTAATTATCAATTCTCGGATTGTTAAAAAAAAAAAGAAAAAAAAGGGGGAATCGTGATTTTAGAAAGTAAAAATCAAATGATATCAATATCACCTTCACTCTGACTCGAATTGAGGACTTCTGATTATACGAAGCATTCCAGCTGTAACGGCGGGCCCTCCCTATTTCTAATTTTTTTTTTCTTTTTTTCCTGTAATTTTAGTTAAAACTGTATCGACGCTCGCGCATTTTACGGACTACTCGATTAATCTTGGCAGGAACAAGGAGCTGTGCCAATAGCGACACGTTGGAACAGCCGAGATTCAAGACCGGAACAACCGGAGGCCGACGAGAGATGACGTATATCCAATATCTTGCCCCAAATGACCAGAGATCATTAAGGTGATGTGAAAGGGTCGTTCCCTATATACCGGAAGGTCAAGATATTCATAAAACATTTCTCCAAACAGGATGTACCTAGTCATTAGAAGCGTTAACACGTGATTATGGAGGCCCTAAGTAAGAGCGCGATGCTTGTGAAATTTCATTATCCGAAAGAAAATTTTTTTGGTCCTTGTCCGAGATAAATACAATTTTTTTTTTTCCCTCGAAAAATGAAATCTCACGAGCATCGCGTCCTTCCTTGGGGCCTCCGTAATCACGTGGTGAAGTTTCAGATGATTCGGTGCTCCCGGTTTGGAGAAAAGTGTTATAAATATTTTAATTTTTCGGACACTTTGATATCACCTTAAGACGCTTTAGTCGGAATTCACGTCAACTTTTCGTCGCGATGAAAGACCGAAAATGTACATGCCAATCTGTTTTCCGTCAACCACTGTAATTCTGATGTTATGTATACAGCATATCTAAATACACCAAAATCCGACAGGACCTTTTGACATGACAATTCCGCGGTACGACGTTCATAGATTTAACATCGGATGCCCAATATTCGCAAAATGCAGGAAAAACTCGGCGAGATCGTTAACTCGGATCCGAATTACGTATTTCGTATTGACGGTGTAACGAAAGTGCCATATACATATATGTATAAATATCAAAAAGTCAAAATAAAGCTTTTCTCCAAACTGGGTCCACCGAATAATTTGAAACATTAACACGTAATTACGTAGGTCCCGATAAAGGTCTTCAAACTCGGGAAATCTCATTCTTCGAAGAAAAACATTGGCATTTATCCCGGACAAGAATCAGAAAAAATGTCTTTTTTTTTCGAAATATGAAATTTTGCGAGTTTCAAGACCTTCGTTAGGACCTCCGTAATCACGTATTAGAGTTTCAAATTATTCGGTGCACCCAGTTTGGAGAAAAGTTATATAAATACTTTGACGTTTTGATATGGATATACATATATAGAATGAATTTCATATAACCTTAAAGTTCAGATCGGTCGTCATCCGACGTCTCGTCTGACGGAACGACGAGCATCAATTTTTACGTATAAAAACCTTCCCTCGTGATTGCTTAGTGTGCCTCAAGTCTCACGTATTGCTTGGAAAAATGTAGTGTATCTTTGGTCCTTAACATTATTATTATTATATTATTATCGTTACTTCAACTACCGTTATTAAATGTTATTATTGATTCAGTTATTACGCACACCGCCTAGGTAGGTCGTCCGGATGCGAAGCAAAGGTTCCGCAGTGAGCTCGTAACCTCCAAATCCATTATGCACAAATTATGTCAGTAATTATAAAAGGATTAAGACTTCACGTTATTAAAAATCAAATGTAATGCAAGTTATTGGACAAATTCATTGTTTTTTTTTCCCTTAGTGTTTTTACTCGAACCATCTTTTTCATGATTGCGAGAACAATTGTCGAAGAGTCTGAAAAAGTGTCACTCGACTCCGTAGAAGGTTATTACAAAAGAGAGCGAACAGAGTGTACAGGGTCCTTCGCCCTGTTTCTTATAAAAAGTCTAAGCAATTTAAATGAATCGTGGCTATTTATAAATATATGTCTGCACTTGTGCCGTACACCGAGAGAATTACAAAGTAACCATCGGAACCCATGCTTCTCCTTCCGTTGTCATTTACACACCTTAAGGACTATTCGCATTATATTACATTTATGTTTCATGACTGGATGACGTGAGATAATTAATTATTGTGGTAACCCATCGAGTCTTATTGCACTTAACGACGTTCATAAGTCAGCGTTAATTGTTAAACCTAGGATAACAAGACTTTCATTTTGATTTGCATTCAAAAGTAACAACAATTATAAACCTATCACGGCAATGCTCGTACGCCTCGACACTTTCAGTTAGACTCCGGAAATTGTACAAGGCCTCCGAATTCTGAGGGCTCCCCTTTCATCTACATCGATTAATCCTGCAGAAAAGTATTTGCATGCATTTCTTGTTAGTGCCTCAGTCCACTGATATTTAGAATTACGATTAAGGTGATATGAAAGTGCCATCCGAGAGGTCACAATTACATTTCTCTCCGAACTGGGTGTACCGAGTAGTTTGCAACTGTATGACATGAATGCGGAGACCCTAAGAAAGATCCCAGCACTCACAAAATTTCAATTATTTAAATTTTTCATACGTTTCTTTTCGATTTTTCAATAAAATCTGATATATATTCAAATGACTCGTAACACCCAGTTAGTACAAAAGTCGATAACGATTGATCTCTCAGATGTGACTCTCGTGTCACCTTAAGGTGATATGAAAGCCTTAATCAGATCATCTTAACATGATATAGATCACTTTAGATATTAACATTTTAAGGGGATGTGAAAGTGGCATCCGAAAGGACAATCGTTCATGAAACTTTTACGGGAATTTTTAATAAAGAATTAAAAAAATACCTACGACCAAACCATTTAAATTCCATGGGTGTCAGGACCTTCCTTATAGCCTCCGTATACACGTTATCGTTTGAAACGATTCGGTACACCCAGTTCAGAGAAAAGTTTCATAAACGAGACCTCTTCGATGCCACATTGACATCGCCTTAAACGATTCCAGATTCCTTGCCCAGCAGGCAGTACATTTACAATGAATAATTCTAAATTAAGTCGCAGTAAATCGGCAAAACTAGTGCAATCGCAAAAAGAATTCGACTTATCCCCGACTACCTAAATTCGTCCTTAACCTCCTACGCAGCTCTTCGATTACAAGTTACATCGCTAACTGAAAACTGCCGAGATAAACGTCTAATCACCTTAAACTGTACAGATCGTTTCTATCGTTAAACCTAATACACCACCACGCTTGAACGGCGCCGCAAATCATTCAATGAAAAATATACATTCTCGAATATATATTTTATATATATATAATATATATATATATATGCGCATATATGTGTATGTACAAAGTAAGTCAATTAGTCTATGCACATCTCTTTGTGCTCGTTTAATCGTTCAATCTCCCTTGAAAACCGGAGATCGAAAGAGGGGACAGACAAGATCTTACATAGCATCGGCACTTCTCTTACATTTCCTCCGGAGGATGCACCCTGCGTACTAATGCTGAGATCTTTCAAGGACATATTTCTTTCCCCACGTCGACGAGCGTCTCTTACTCTACGAGATACAATCTAGTATGCCGTACTTTCACCAGTAGTCTCCCTTTAGGCGAAAGCTGAGGTTTCGACGAGCGAAAATAGTAGGCGACCGCACGATTAATATTTTCCAAATTTTCCAACCCGCCTCTCTACAACGAAGCTTAAGGCGATACGAAAGGCGCTGAGAAATTTAATCGACGTCGATAAAATTAAATCCGTCTATTCCCTTTTATGCGGTAACGCCATTTTGGATACTCGAGTGATAACGTAACAACATTCAGAATAATACAAAATGAAGCATTCCACGTGTCATCTCGGGGAAATAATTATAAAGAGATCGAAGTAATACTGTCGAAATCACGTGGATTCATGATTTTTGATACTCTAACGGACGGACGGCGCCATCTGGCACGTTTGCCTGTAACTAAATGTTTTCTCTAAAAACACGCGTTAACCACGGGACAAGTCAATATTCTATTGCAATAGTTCGTTAAAGTATTTTGCATATTTTCCCATCTCACTCTGGAATATTCCATTTCTGTTGTATTCTAAATTGTTCGAGCTAGGTCCTGAAACTCTTCATTTTCGATTCTAACCCTCCAAGAAGCGTAAAACATTGAAAACGTGCATGGACCACGCCATGTTGGTTCTAGTTCATGATAAATAAATACATTTTTTATGAGAAATGAAATTTCATGAGTTTCAGGACCTACCTTAGGACCTTCATATTCACGTGATGAAATTTGATACGAATCGGTACACCCAATTTCGAGAATACCTTCACGAACGATTTAACCTCTCAAATATAGTCTGCCCCTTTCATATCACCTTAAGCCTCGTTTCATCATGCTACGTTCTCGAGTCTCTTTCGACGGAAGATCAAGATTCGTTTCTCTTCTTCATAGATTATGATTCGAGTTACGAACGTGTAAAAAAAAAGAAACCGGTCAAAAATGCCAGGGGCCAACGGTACCCTACTTTCGGTTAGGATCTCCCTCTTCTCGGGCTAAAAACGATTCGCCTCCGAAGGCTCAGCAATTATCGATACAATGTATTACTCTAAAGGAGATCAATGCTCCGACACTAGCCAATTTAATTTTCAGCAAAATAGCAAGACCCTTTTTTCGTGGGCGGTTGAAGGTGTCCGAATAAAAAGTACCGAATAAAGAGTATAAGATTAAGGTGGTGTGAAACTGGCGTCAGAGAGTTCTCGCTCATAAAACATTTCTGCAAACTGGGTATAATGAATCGATTCAAACTTTCCAATATAAATATGGAAAAGTTTTGTACGATATAGCACACCCAGTTCGGAGAAAAGTTTCATGAACGATTGACTTTTCAGATTCCACTTTCGTATCCCCTTAAGATGCCGTTCCAAAAAGTAACTAACATAAGAATATTGGCTTATTTGAAAAGCACTCGCAAGCACACTTCTCTTACTTTACTTATCTTAGAGCTACAATCCGCACCGATAGGTGAGAGACTCGTAAACTACTTGCTTCGTCTTGGCATCTTTCCACGCCACTGGCCACCTCGAAGGGAATGATTCCATAGAACGATATGGCGTCATTAAAGCTGTGCTTTCAATTTATTCTAACGAGGCGATGATTTGGCAAAAGCTTCTGAGAACGTCAGCGAGCACTTTTCTGCCAGAGCTGGAGATCGACGATAGACTTTCCTTCGACTCCACACAGGGGGCTTTTAAAACTTAATTCTGAGACTTCCCCAATATCTCATCATAACCGTAGCAGGTTTCGATTTGAAAGCCATTTGCAAGGCTCGGTACGCTGCATCCGTTACGTACGTAGCCCCCAAGGCTACTTTGCATGCTGCGGTGCTATAAACAGACTTTGCCTCTAACAAAAACAGCTGCAAGTACTTTGCATTTACGTACGCAGGTAAAAAAAGGAGGAAGGTTAACGATAATCACTGATCGAGACGCGCGGATATGTGAGCTGCACGCTTAACTAATGCACAGTTTAACCTCAAAAAGTCCTCGTGACATTTTTCGAGGTTACGAAAGCGTCGATATGAATATGATTCGTAGCTACGTCGCGGAACACTGAGAACAAACTCGCCGTTGTCGAACACAATAAAAGGATGATATGAAAAGCTTCACTCGTAATAATTAAAACGTATGAACAACGAAATCGTAGGGTTGGTCACGTTTGACGATTACCCCACAATCTTGGCGGGGTAAAACCATAAACTAGCATAATGAGTCCCCATTCTATGGGTATTTCCAGAAATTCTAACCTTATATTTCCTTGCAAGGTTAACCGAACACTAGCGATCCTTGCGAGAATAATGTAACGCGATTACGCAATATGGCGATGCATAAAATACTAGTCAAATCCGGTACTACGTATGATACAGGTGTAAAAAAAGCCGACTAGTATCACCGGTCTTGTCGTTGTTACTTACTAATATTTATAAGATGTTAAGTAATATGTGTCTCGGTGGTTAATAAATGTTCTATGGTTACCGTGTAAGTATTTCTTAGACGACAATATGCCGGCCATTTGTAGAAATCTAAAAGTGTCGGGTTTCCCGCAAGAGTCGCTAGTGTCGCCGTTGGCTAGCTAACAAGAGCAACGAAATGACTACGTCTCCATTGTATTCGACATCCGGGATTTATCGGGTCCAAACCCCGTAAATCAGAATTTAAGGGTCGATCGAGACGTTCAGGATCGAATCTGCGAAATCATTAATGCGATGGAGACATGCGACTTAATGGATTAGGACCCAATAAATCCGGATTTAAGAGTGCGATGGAGATGCGGCCAAGTACTTGGAGCCAGGAGAATCGGTCGGTGGTTCTCAAAAAACAAAACAAAAAAAAAAATATGAAAATCTTAAGGTTCGCAGTCGAGTCTTCTGCTGGGAATATTTACAGGCTAAAAGAGGTGCAGCGTTCCCCTGCGAAATCTCATCGAGAGTACCTAATCATATATCCCACATACCGAGTGGGTAGGTATCGTTTTTATCACATGGAGGCAGTCACCTACGGCGAGCTGATAGACTCCGTGACTCTTGGCGCACTCTTTGGTATCATCCGAGGAAGAGTTCCGATGCCCTCGAGTCCTCGCTCTAGAATTAGGAACCCAAAAGGCCGAGCAGACCTCGCGATGGTCGTCTTCGTGCAAGGAATTTACAGTGAATCGATCTCTCGCGCGTTGTTTCAATCTGACCGCGTTTCCTCGAGGCGTTTTCATTATCGCGACACCTCGAGTGGCCTTGAAAGACGCATTGTCGACCCGACACGTGGAGATCGGCCTTGAGGTTCCATTTTCCAGGGTTAGGGCCGGTTCACACGCATGGACGTAGGTAAAGAATTCAAAAGTTTCCGTGGAAGCCTGGAAGGATTCGAACGTTACTCGACGATTAGTACGTTAGCCAACGGACGGCGGCGCTGTGATCGACTCTCCTCCCACACGTAAGATGCCGTTGGCTAAAACGTGCGATCTCTTACTTCCACTTTTGGGTTATCAGCCGAATTTTAAAGCGACAAACGTAGTATCCAGGCTTTCTACCTAACCCCTGAATTCTTTAACCTAGGATATATGCCCTCTAAACGCCGATTCGACTGTAATGGCAGCCACATCGAGAGACAGTAAACAAGGGGACGCCCTATTTCTCGCTCTCCCTCTCAATTTTTCAAAACAGTTGCGCAACGCAACACGGCGATCGGATATCTCCCAAGAAGAGGGAACGAGAAAGGAACCTCGGGCGTTCACTCGTTATCGGTCGTGTCCTCGATGACGGAGTCCCAGTTGAACTCCGTGACGCTCTGCCTGGAGGGGAGCTCCCCCAGGTGCTGGAACCGCTGGACGAAGTTGGGATCCCGGTCCCGGAGTCTGCGGAACCGCTGGAAGGCCAGATTCTTCGCGAACTCGTAGAGCTCCAGGTCGAGCCGGTTCAGCCGACGCACCGCGTCGAGCTGCTCCTTGGTCAGGGTCGCCATCGTCGCGGCGCTCTGCGTCGCGTTGTGCTGCTCGAACGCCACCGCGAACCTCATGCCGAAGGTCTCCTCGAAAGAGTACTGGCCCATCTGGAAATTAAATCGAGGGTTAAGGGGATCTAAAAGTGGCATCCGAAGAGTCAATCGTTAATGAAGCTTTTCACCAAACTGGGTTTAACGAATCAATTCGAACTTCACAATATAAATATGGAAAAGGTTCGAGACGATTTGGTGCACCCAATTCGGGGGTAAGTATCATAAAGGACCCTTTCACGTCACCTTAATCCTATATTTCCTTATCGTCCCCAGGAAATATCGGTCCACCCGTTAAATCTGGCAGCCGACCAAACGCTCAACCCGGACTGCGGATCCAGCCAAGTTCTGGACGCGTTTTTCGCTAGATGGCCTGGTTACCGATTTGTTCTGATAATTTACAGTCGTGCCTTATACCCCCCAAAATCCCCTCCTACACTTTCCACATCCATTATAGATCAAGAACCGAGTCACAAAAAAGGAAAAGAAAAGACATCGGACCGAACCTTCGCGCCGCGCGAAATTCGATCGTTCCCAGAAATGCTATTGCGCACTTCAAACCGTGAAAATGCCCGACAAACCGACAATTCTACGTCGTTTAACGACCTGCCGTCTCTAGATCGAGCTCACACAATTATCTACATTGGATAATAGCAGCCGACTGGTCGTGGTCATGGCCACGGATCTAATGGCCTGTGACCACGATCAAAGAACTATGACAAATCTTTCGCTTAGTCCTGGAGATAAGTTTACAGTTGGGATGTCATCTTTCAGGAATTGCATGGAGCTTTTCTCGAATCACCTTTGCCACGGGACTTTTGTCACTTTATACGACGAACATTAATACCGATTATTATGATTCTCCAATTATAAATATACGGGGAGACCGAGACGTCGATGATAAGGGCAATACTTCGAAATGGCGACATGGAAAGAAAAGCCGGTGGCGTTAAAAAATTGAGAAACAAGAACGTATCTCTCCTGCATTTCGAGAGGGGATTAATTTCCAGCGGTCGAAGCCCCGCCAGGGTTCTTCCGACGGTTAATATTGCATTTTCGCCGGGACACGCGTCGAGGGCAAAAACGCTGACGAGGAGTAGTCGGCGCTCGATCAGCTGATTCGCAGAGTCGAGCCGTTTCTTTCTCCCTGGAACAATGAACGGCCGGGGCAGGAATTGATGGATGTCCCGTGCATCGGCGACATTTATTCGGTGAATCGATGACGGATGTCGGCCCACTAGGGAAGGAAAGGACAGAGAATGAGAAAAAGGAGGAAACTACCCAGGGAACGCGCCACCGTAAAGCCGGGTCCGTGCGGTAAATAAACAATGGCCCACCGGAAGAAGCGTGCGGCATAAACCGCGGCGGTGCACCCGCTCGCAGAGCCGCTTATAAATGTTTACGTCGGGATTTCTATTCTTGAGCGCACCTCCCTAGGGAGAATTGCCGGCGTTGATGTCGGATTAAAACTCGCGGCTCGATCTGCGGAGGAAAAACCGGCCGGAAAGATCCGATTTCGAGCCGCGGTAAAGCGTTTAACCCGATTAATACTTCATATACCGGAAGCCTAATAACCGGCTTCATGATATCCGCGATGGTCATCTACTTCCAAATTCGTCGGTAGATAGCTTTATCTTACCGATTACTTAATCGGCGAGAAATTATTAAGCTTTTATACGAATTGGGTGTACCGAATCGTTTCAAGTTTTACAACATTAACGCGTGGGCTATGAGGAAGGTCCCGACACTCATGAAATTTTTTTTCATAAAAAAAAATTTTGAAAATATCAATACTTTGTTTTTTTAATTCTATTAGGCGAATCCAAAGAGTGGCTCCGATCAACTTGCCATCGTTTCCGTGAAGAGCGGGTAAACACGGCGACAGTCGGTGCTAAACAATAGAAAAAGAAGACTCGGCTCAGACAACCGCGTCATTCATCGGGTTATATCCAACCTTCTCGGTATCCGGACGTTTAGGAATAATCCAATCGACCGGCAACCAGCGAACGCCTCCGGAATCGGATTTCAGGTCGACTTCCTTATCTTCCCGGTAAGGAAAAAACGAAGGCTTAGTTTACACCGATGATTTTGTACTAATACCAAAGGTGTAGTTTAATCAAACTCTGGACTTAAACAATAGCGAACCAACGATGCCCTTAGCACAATTTTTGATAACTTATACCGACGAAAGGCAGCGCTTTAGTAATATTGCAATAGAAAATATATGGCGGCGTTTTGAAATACCGCAGAACGTGCCAAAAGTAAGACCTTCGGAAATACACCTTTTCTCCTTTACCTCGTGGTGTAAACTAAGCCGAAGAGCGCAGCCATCCTCGTTTACCTTTTGATACTCGGTGAGCATGAAGAATGGCATGAACTGCAGGTTGTGCTTCGCGCTGGCCAGCATGAGGCGATCTCTCTCCTGGTTACCCAAAGTGGAGTTGTAGCAGCCGATCAAGGTCAGATCGGCCAGCATCCTGGTCTGCCGATTGCTCGCTAGGTTGTAGGGACACTCCATGAACTGCGGATTACGAGAGGAGGTTAAGGCGAAGCGAAAGTGGCGTCCGAGGAGTCAATCGTTTACGACTTCACTCCACCCTGGGTGTACCGAATCGTCTGAAATGTTTCCCACGCGAATGCGGAGGCTGTACGGAAGGTCTTAACCCTTTCAGCGCTAAGCCCTTTTGGTGTACGGAGGATTTTCATCAATGCGCGCAAGCAATATTGGACCTAACGTAGGACGCACTTATGGGTCCACATCGCTGAAAGGGTTAACACCCATGAACAATTTTTTGTGATTCGATATGAAAAACGTAATATCGTAATCCGTGGAGGGTACATACCTGTTCTAGAGTGACGCCCTCCCAGCTCGGGCCACTGTAGCACTGGGGGATATTCGCCTCGGAGCCCCCGCACCAATGTCGGGCGCCCTTCCACGTGGCGCCCCGTTGCACGTGGCGGAACTCCGAGAGGTAACGAGCCACGGGGTCCCTTATAATGGTTATGTAAAAGTATCGCCTCTTTACGCCCTCTCCTTCGATCTTGTTGAGCTCGGCGTCTACGCAGCTCGTCAGCTCGGTCCAGTCGGCGTGGAGGCCGCACTTCCAACCCGTGGAGTACCTCGAGAACAGCCAATTCTCGTTGCGGTTAGGACGGAAGCAAAAGCACCTCTTTCTACGACGTTGGCAGGAGCAAGGTCGTTGCAGGTCCAGGTCTCGCACCAGGTGTTTGCCGAACAGCGTGCCCCCTGAAATGGGAAACTAGGTGTTAGAAACAAGAGCAGGTGACTCAAGTCATTAATTTGTTATAAAAGAGTCATTATATTGTATGCGTTATTATGAAAGCCTTGCACGTACCTTCGCACCCTATGAAAAAAAAAAAAAAAAGATTCATTGAACGAAATAAAAAATTCCTTTGAAAAGGGTCAAACGAAATATTTCGTTAATTCCAAGGAATAATTCGACTCAAGTAAATTGTTATAAATCCAAATGAATCTGGCCTTTAATTTATCCGAGTTTATTTCAGTGAAATAATTATTCTTTCAATTGAAGAAAATATTTCCCTGGTTCGATGAACCTTTTTTTTTTTTCTTCTTGACAGTATACGAGTCTGTATACGCGACTTATGAAATTCGCATCCTCGCGTACGAAATTTCGAGATATCGTATCTTGAGAAAGCAGGTCGCCTACATGCATGCTGCACTTCGAGGAGATATTTTTAACAGTGCAGCAGTAGAAAGGAGAGGCCGATCGGTACGATGCACCTCGAGTAGTTAAAACCCGTTGACACGCCGAATAATCCTTGATAATTCCGTCACTGTACGAGGGAGCGTCTGGACACTCCAACGTGCTCAATGAATAATTCAGAGATGCAAGGATACGATGCAACTACGAAGAAAGCCGAAGGAGCTCCCACTCTATGGGTTATTTCCAAGAGAATTCTGACCTCATGTTATAAAAATAATTAATTTAACTTGACGGGTTATTCATTTAGGAAATCATGAATTTTAACGCTTGAAATCTTATATAGTTTCTACGCATTCCTCTTGACCAAACATTTAACAAAAGGAAAAGAAAGAAAAAGAATTATTTACATTCCATGCCGAGCCACCTACGACAAACACCCACTTGTCTTTGGATACCTAGATCCTTCTTTTCGAAGCAAAGCTACCGCTCCCACTCTGCTTATGCAATTTGTGTCACCGATTCCACAAACTAGACGCGAAAAATCCTCGATAACACCTTATCGTCGTATCGGATCGATGAATCTATATCAAATCTCATCTTAAGGGGATGTTACTCCGAGAAGTCAATCGTTCGTTAAACTTCCTTAAAATAACTATAAGTAAATTCATAAGTTCATAGGTATCAGGACTTTCCTTGCAGCCCTCATATTCACATTGTAAAGTTTGAAACAATTCGGTCAAAAGATTCATAAACGAGACCTCTTTGACGCCACTTTCACATCACTTTAAAGCTTCCTGGAAGCATCTACAGGTGTAAATGTATCCCCTTGGACAAAACCTCTGATTCATCTTTAGCGTACAGTGGCGGACATGAAAGTCTTCTCGTCTTTCTTGGTAGCAGCATATTCGCCAATGTATACAACTTGAAAATATGAGTTGACATTAGATTATCCATGGAGTTATGGCCCTGCTTGTTATTTAAGATTTGACGTCATGTTTCCAAATAAAACTATCTACGCTAGGTGCCATTTGAAAGCACAAACTTTGCTCTATGCTTTGATAATAATAACAGCTTCAAGTATTAATTTCTGATGTATTCAGACCATTTAAAAGTTCCGTGGTGGAAAGGTTTAAGATAAAGGTAAAGTGCAATCGGAGGTCCCCATCCAGTTCGGAAAAAACTCTCACAAGCGATCGACACCTTGAGTGCCACTATCATATCGAGTCGCATAATGATTACATAACCCACAACATAAACATTGGGATAAGGCAAGAGACCCACCGGTTTTTTGTATGTGCAGAAAGACCATGACGTCGTGGGCATTGATGTCGAACTGGAAGGTGTCGTTGGAGAGGACGTCCTCGTAGCCGAGACTACCCTGGACGCTCTGGAGCTTGAAAGCCGGAAGCGCCGGCAGGGCAGCGTTTCCGTCGACCTCGGTGGCGGATGCGGAGACGGGTGCCAAGACGACCGGAGCAACTCCCGGCGACAGACCCTCAGCCACCCTGGTGGACTCCTTGGCGTCGCGGTTTGTCAGGGCGCAGACGTGGTCCGGGCAGAAGTAGCCGAGATAGACGATGCCCGAGAGGGCGAGCGCGACGCAGATGCCGACAACGCCGCGTAGCCTCGTCCTCCGGGCGCGTGACTCCATCCTAGAGGAGGTCTCCGTGTCGCGGGCACCGCTCGGCAGGAGAGCCGCCAACTCGCTAGCGCCTTCTACACTCGCTCGCCTCCCCATTCCTCCCCATTATCGTTCCGCGACTGGCGCGGGACGCTCGCTCTTGCACCGCGTCACGGTAAACCGTGCGGGAAACCGACGAAACGGCCGTCCCCGTCCGAGCGTACTTTCCGAGTGGCGGCCATCTTGTGCCAGTCCTCCCACCATCTTGGAATTTCGGCGGAATTGGCCGGGGGCACGCGAGCAGAGACGAGTCGGGAGATTGCTCACGGGCAGGCTCGCGCGATCGCGTCCTGTGCTGCCACCTTTTGGAGGATACGGGCGACTAATGCACTCTCCACCTGTTACTCCTTAATGGCGCCGCAATCTTTTCCGCTGCAGATGCATTTATGAAATTAAACCCTTGGGTCTCTTGGAATAAACCATGGGACAAACTTCCAAACCGTTCCAAACTAACTTGTCGGTCGAGGAGAACCCGAGGTAGTTCCCATAAGTTTCACCAGGTGCTGCTTCGTCGCACTTAACCCCAATGAACTTTTCGGAGTTTGGACACGAGACTGGAGCACGACGCACGCGACCGTCTAGACCGTTCGGCGAAGCCACCGAAGCCCGGTTCACTTGGAATTGTTAGAGGACTCGATTAATCTCTTATCTCAAGAGGTTAGCTTAATTTTCGACAGCAGGTCCGTTCCCGTTAAATGTGACTTCCTCGGCGAGGTGCAGCTAGAATGGCCGGGGTCTTCGATATCGAGCTGCAGGACGGCGAAACGGTGAACCAGGACGAGTCGGACGACGACATCATCGAGACCGGAGAGGTGCTCTTAGATTGCGGGAGAATTACTCGTTGTTTCTTATCTCCTTTTCTCTCGATACTTCAATAATTCTCATGACCTCGACCGTTGCAAGCCTAACTTCTCGTCATGCTTCTTGCAGGGCGACTTCGACACTCCACCGAATGTAAACAATCTTCTCGAGTGAGTATCGTGGTCCTTCGATCGAGCCTGTGCGAGTCTCTGGAAGTCGAAGTGTTCCTTGGTTTTACCTGGGTGAAGGTCGAGAAAGATTAATCGAGATCAAAAGGATCTTTCCTATGTATTGGGATGGTAAATTCAGGGAACCGTGGAAATCTCTTCAGAGAAAGAGAGTTTCAGGGTCTTATTGCTCATTAAATCCTGGTTATATCTTCTTAATATAACTGGTGATAATTTGTAACTCGCGGTTTATCTAAAGTCAGAGATTATCTATTAGTCAACTTTTTTTGGTCGGCTACCGAGTGGCCTTTAGAATGAAGAGCTATTAACCCTCTGTAACCCAATTTCTTTTCAAACCAAGGGAAAACTAATGTGACGTGAAATTTTCAAATGCTAACCTTCCTATATTAATTATTTGTCTACAACTTTATAATTTATGTTATTATAAATTTACAATTAATGAACAAATTCATTGGTTACAAAGAAAAGTTACAATAATAAGGTGCTACGTTAAGTTTTTCTGGAAAAATCTAGTAAGACTGAAGAAGTATCAATATACAGATATGTTACTGCAAAGTCACAGTTATAGAAGGTTAAATAGTGAAATAATGATGTTTCCTCTCTTGGCTTTCAATTGGATTGTAATTGAACTCACTTGTCGATCATGGTTTCATTTAGATCTGAAAATGTGGAGAGAGTTCAGTTGTCCGAGCAGATTGTTAACCCAGGCCAGGAGAAAACCGGGCCACAGGACTTTGAACTGTGTAAAATCCTTGGGGAAGGTGGGTATGGAAAAGTCTTTCAAGTACGCAAAGTCACTGGAAAGGACCGGGGCAGCATCTTTGCAATGAAGGTGAGAAGGAAGAAGTAAAAGGTGCGCAAATGAGTTTCACAAGGCTGAATTTCTTTTGCGTATACCATCGAGAGCATTTCAGTCATTTAATGTCTATTAACAGGTATTACGCAAAGCATCGATAATAAGGAACCAAAAAGATACGGCACATACCAAGGCGGAGAGGAACGTCTTGGAAGCAGTTAAGGTAATTTCAGTATATCCTGTATGTTCGGAGAAAACATAACTTATTAAATGTACGCGTAACGGGATATGATATTGATGTTACATAATTTTGCTTACAGCATCCCTTCATTGTTAACTTAATGTATGCTTTCCAAACGGGAGGTAAACTCTACTTGATTTTGGAATACCTCTGCGGTGGAGAACTGTTCACTTACTTGGATCGTGAGGGAATTTTCTTGGAGGATACAGCTTGGTACGATCATCACTTATTAACTGTTCGGCTTAATAAATCATTGCAGGACAAATATTGCTTATCTGAACATTCTCTGAATTTAATTTAAACTCATGTATAAATGTCGTAATCATTACATTCACGTTCCTTTTTCCAGTTTTTACCTATCTGAAATCATACTTGCGCTTCAGCACCTTCACAATCAAGGAATCATCTACAGGTACGTATTAAAAATGTGACATCATTGTTTTGCTTTTCTCGTATTCATCCTCCATAAAAGAACTACCAATTAATGACGGTACCACAATTTTCTTGTAGAGACCTGAAACCTGAGAATATTTTATTGGACAGGGAAGGCCACGTGAAATTAACCGATTTTGGTTTATGTAAAGAGCACATACAAGAAGACACTGTAACGCACACAATGTGCGGGACGATAGAGTACATGTAAGAGATATTTTGTTAAAAGTTTGAAGTCGGTTACAAATTTGATCATAAGATATGCTTCGATAGAAACTGATTAATCCAACTATAAGGCTATTTTTTTTTAAATGTACGTTCATTTATTTCAACAGGGCGCCCGAAATTCTGACCAGAAGTGGCCATGGGAAAGCAGTCGATTGGTGGAGCCTCGGTGCTCTGATGTTCGATATGCTGACTGGCAATGTATATATCATTCTTTGATCGATATCTCTGTTAGACCTTTTGAGATAAAATTCTATCGTTTAATATGAACTTGCAGCCACCGTTCACGGGAGACGACAGGCGAAAAACGATAGAAAAGATCCTGAGAGGAAAATTGAGCCTCCCGCAGTACTTGACACCAGATGCCAGAGATCTTATTCGGAAGCTGTTGAAGGTGAGTCACAAAAGTCATGTGGCTTTTATTTAATCCAGACCCTCTTTTTTTTTCAACGTTGCACCTTCCTCGTTTCACAGAGACAAGTGGCTCAAAGGTTGGGGTCCAGTCCAAGCGATGCCGAACAAGTGATGAGTCACAATTTCTTCAAGCACATCAGTTGGCAGGATGTGATTTCACGCAAATTGGAACCTCCTTTCAAGCCATCCCTGGTGAGTCGGATTCAACACACCGGAGTCTGGTACGGCATTGAACTTTGTCTTATTCTGAACCTCTTCGTTTTCAGAAAAGTGCTGACGATACGTCGCAGTTCGACGAACAATTCACGGCAACGGATCCTGTGGATTCTCCGGTGGAAAGTACTCTGAGCGAGTCCGCCAATATGATTTTCCAGGTTAGGTTAGGTACCATATTACGAAAAGTGTTCCAGGGGTTAGGATCCTTAAGGTGATATATATGTATATGGATTTCATTTGATCTACATAGATTGAATTTCCCAGCGCCTCTCATATCACCTTAATCTTGACAATTCCATTCTTTGAGGTACCGCTGTTTATAATACGTTGAAAATACAATCTTGCTCTCATTACCAGGGATTCACATACGTGGCGCCAAGTGTACTCGAAGAGATGTACACTCAGCCGAAGGTTGTCAATGCCAGAAGTCCTCGAAGAGGTCTCCTTAGCAGCAGTCAAAGTGGCAGCTTGCAGAGCTTCTCATCAAGGACCCCCGACACCAATTTGAGGCCGACCTCGCATTTTCAGCAACAGCAACACAGGTGAGAAAATCAACCACTGGCTCTACGTAGCTGTTGGACGGATGATCTCCTAGGCTCGACCTTAACTGGACACGTCTTCTCAGGAAATTGTTCATGAAATTTCCAGGCATCGCATAGCAGGATTAAATAACACGGAGGACATGGAGATGATGGACGTGATGCCGTTGCCCCACTAAAATAATTATCAGTGATCGAAGATGCATCGACTCGAGTTTTCTGGGTTAAACTCCTTCGAGCGATTCCGTCGAGGGATCAGGGAAAATGATCGATGCAGGACTCGGAGCAAGAGGAACGAAATCCCGAGGGGCTTGACAAGGCTCGAACCATCGAGAGATTTCAATTGGTTGTCTAATTCGTGTCGAATCCTAAAATACCACGATCGAGTTATTCCACGGAAAGGTATACATCTCATCGTGGAAACGATTTTGTAAAGTACGAAGCGCAAAAGGGCCATACAGTGAGTAATCCTACTCTCGTTAGGAACAAGTAGCAATGACACGTTCAGGGGTCTATTTTCCCTCTTATTCAGCCACAAGGACAAGTGTCCTATCTTCTAGTATATCTCAAATGGCGCTTTAACGCCAGGCCAACAGTTTTGCACTAACACTGCCTGCATCGGGATCGTGTAAATGAAATAAGTAAATATGACGTTAAGGTGCCGCTTTTGTGTCACCTTAACCCTTCGCACTCCCAACTATTGCTGATGTCGAGTCACACTCGACATAGATGTGCAAAGGGTTAAAGCTAGCGAACAAAACGGGTCTCCTGCCTCGAAGGAAAGAGAGATGGATCCTAATAAGTCACTCGAGGTAGCTAGTTTCGAATTTTTCCCTTAATCTCTGTGACCCTAGTTCCTCAATCTTTGGGGGAGCTTCTTTACGAAACCGTTCTTCTAAGGATACGTATACACTACTTTAACTTCTGACCGACAAAGTTGCACTGGAGCAGTTATCTCTTTGAGGCCTACGATCGCGCGACGTTCTTTTTCGTCGCAAGAATTTCCAATTGCGGCGAAAATCGAGCACAAAATGATTGAGCACTGGGTGTTCGATTCGACATTTTCAGATGACCATTTTTGTTCTTTTTTTTTTTTAATTTGTTTTTCAGCGGTCCCTTGGTATATGCTTTAGACTGCACTGGGAATAAAGCTTCATTGAATCGAAGAAATAATTTATTTGGAGCACTATCAAAGAAACATTTCTTTCGAACAGTACCGAAGGATTACTTTTCTTCGTTCGAAGGATAATCTATTTCACTCGAACTCGAATGAATTGGATGCAACGTTTCTTAGGATCGGTGACAATTTATTTCAGCTTAATTCGTTGAATGCTTTGATACTGTTCAAAGGAATAGTTTGGTTCGATAACTTTTTTTTTGTTCTTTTTTTCTCATCTTACAGAGATGCGCACTTTCTCGTGGCCTCGTTCTTTGAGTTTTGCGCAAGAAATTTTATCTTTACTTTTGTAATAATTATAAAGTCCCTGTCCGGAGATTCTCAGTGCAGGACAAATATACACTTCGTATGCAGATTGTAGAATCCGACTTTTTATAAAACGCGACCAGATGGTTAGATCTTTGTTTATTTAACTTTATTTTACAATCCGGCTAGTCGTTTTATCGATCGTTTTGTAAAATACCCAGTCGCTCTATAAAATTACTAGGTTAGTTGTAAAATAAAACAAGGGTGAACGAAGATTTGGCCATTTGGCTGCGTTTTACGAAAGGTAGGATTTTACAATCTGGCTACGATGTACACAACTAGATGATAGTATTTAGTGGTGCCACGTTCGGAGTTCTGCGGGGTTATGTAAAATTGTATATGCTTTTTGTTTATGTACCTGTATGTATATATACATATATACACATTCATATATCTACATATACATATACATATATGAATATTCCTTCTTTTGTCTATGTATACACCGAGAAACGTGCAATTTAGACAAGACATGAATTATTTTATGTACAGGACGTTTTACCCATGCATCGAAAGCTGGAAATGGCTTATCGAAGTAATCGGTTGAGTTTTACTAGGAATGGAAATCGTTAAAATATCAGGTCACCGATGGGGTGAGCCAAGAGTATTTCAATTTTTTACAAAATGTTATAAACCAAAAGGTAGTCGAAATGCGAGCCTAGAAATATCCATTGTTAATATAACGCGAGATAAATTAAATATATATATATATATACATATAAAGAAAAGAGAAAATCTATATCCTGCGCTTTTGCGTCTGCTTTTCATTGGCTCAACATTTATTCCGTTCAAGCACAGATTAATCGAAGCAGGGGAAGCTGCAAAAGGTTGCCATCGGTTTTAGATATTTCTTGGTTCGAGAAAACATGTTGCGTAGTTGAAAGAAAAATACCATTACTCGTTTAAAAAGATCTAGAGATAATTACATGTTGAAGCTCAAAGATTCTACCTTTAAGGCTCCTTTCTTTTGCCCCTTGTCGTATAATGTACAATTTAATTTTCATTTTATCCCTTGTCGGGAGGGGGGCATAAGTCTACTTCGTCTCGATGAATATTCTAATAACATGGCATGTATTTCTAATCCAAGGTTCTGAGTGTTCCACTTGGTCCTTAATTTCTCGAATAGGAAGAAACTAGAGATGATTATTAACCTGTCATTTATTACAAAAGTATTTGTATAGACGGGCACTTTATTAAAATGATTGTTCTTTTTAATTTTTTTTTTTGGATAAACCAGACAGAGCATTCGGAATTAGAAAAATATACCACTTGCTACGATGGAATTAAAACAAAATATAAGTAATGTAAAATCCCGTCGATGGAATGGGATCTTTGCAAATGGTCAGACATCGCTTAATCAAGCATGTGATGAACATTCACTCGGATTTCAGACTGCCCAAGTGTTCATCAGCCACCATAAATGGCTAGTATTATGTACGCATAGACAACCACGATGCAGACAAATATAGTAAAACCTTTATATTGTAACATTAGTGATCGATTATAAGATTACTACAATAAATAGTTAAAGCCAGACCATAGCACACCGTATTCACATTTTGTTAAGTTTTGCCATGCGAGGTGCTTTACCAGGCTCGCAGTAAAAATTCGTTATTGCGAGTTCAATTCGACATATAAGAAATAAATAACGCGTTAGATCGTAAATTAAGTTCCCCCTCATATTTTTAAAGCGTTAATGCAAACCTACCGATGTCCTATTAATTGGTAAAATCAGCCAGGATGATTGAGTTAAAAATATTCATTATGGAGATGAGCACCCTCACTTCTGATTCACAAAAAGAAAACGAATGTACCCGTTACTCTGTTAATTATGTCCATAAGTATGACGATTTCATTTCCATTATTGTAATGCTAATTAAAAACTATTTTACATGTAACTACACCTAAGTACATTTTTTCTTTGGCAAGTATTTCCAAGATTTGTACAGATCACTTTGCGTGCATCCGCCTCAGAATTTAACTTACAACGGAAGACTCGTGTGTGGTTGTTCGCTATCTCAAGTAAATTTTAAATCATTTACGTTCACCTTTCCAATAAAGTTCTAAGTACTTATACATGATATCTACTCGGTCGAACTACATACTGTACATTCGCCTATCCCTTTTCGTTTTCAATGAGGAAAATATAGGCCCTGACTAATATACATATGCCAATTTAATGTGGTTAGATTAGGAACGACACATTTTTACAACATATTTACCGATGCGAAATTTGATAAACATTACGAAAAGGCTATAGTTACGTTTAACTAATCGTAGTTTGGGTAACTATATTTTCTGTCTCCGGATAAAATTCATTTTCACCAGCCAATGATGTACTTACATAATTTTTGTGCTTTTGCCATCGCAGATGACACTCGGTAGGAAATCAATGATGAGAATGTTTTCTGGACTTTTCATACTTTCTCTTGTGTCTCTGTTCGGTGTCTGATTCGCTGGACTTTCTTTTCCTTCCATTGGTTTGATTTCTGTCCTTGGTGCTTTTATATTTTTCATTCTCTTTTTCATCCTTCTTCCGACGATCCGTGTGATGTTCGTCTTCATCTTTTGATGTCTGCTTTCTCTCCTTGTGATTCTTCTTTGCTCTCTTTTTGTCCTTATGGTCTGAATCAGGAGATTCGCTGCGTTCACGTTTGGATTTAGATTTCTTTTTGGACTTTCGTTTTTCTTCCTCAGAGGAGGAATCATCTGAATCGGTACCACTGCTGCTAGCACTCTGTCTGTTACGCTTCTTCAACTTCTTCTTCTCTTTCAGTTTTTTCTTCTCTAATTTTTCCAATTTCCTGCAACGATAAAAAAAAAAGCTTACTTATTTCATACTTCAAAATAGGCTGATTATAATTTCTAATGAGAATGCAGTATATATTATCAGTCAAGATATAGGTTTCCTACTTCAGCAATTTCTTCTTCTCCTTTTTTGACAAGGACTTCAAGAACGTCACTTCGGACTGCTCTTCATCTTCCGAAACCATTAAATCCTCATGTTCAGGCACTCGTAAATGCTGTTGGGCAGTGAGAGCAGACCTAAGCAATTAGGAAACGAATAAACAACAACTGTAAATAAATCCTTGTAGTGGTTAACAACATACAAAAGCGAGCAATCAATTCTCTATAAATATCGAAACATACTTTTTCAGAGCCAGGCCGTCTTCTCTCATCTGTTGTACTAACGTTAAAGCATCTGGTGCTGGCGGAGTCTGTACATTATTTGCCATCACCACGCTCATTGCTTGGCTATATAATGGGCATTCCTTGTCTGTCATAAGAAGGTCGATATTCAGGATTTAAAACGTTAATGTTCGTACGAACTTGTGTCTTATTATTGTGACATTACCTGTATTAATGTGGCCCCATTTGTGACATTTAATGCAGCGGACATTGCGTACTTGAATACCAAACGGCTGGTCCCGTATTTCACTGTCACCCTTGCAATAACTCTCCCGAGGAGCATTATATTTGCGCTGCCATTCAAACTTATATTCAGGTTCGTTGTCCTCCTTCTCTCTTTCCTTTTTTGCTCCTGGAGGTGGTTCGTACATAAAGTTTACACTGAGCTTGTCCTTGCTTTCCTTACTGAGTAAAGCTCTGTAATTTAACATTAACGCTTAAATCAATATACGAATTAGGTTCGAAGCTGTTATTTGCAGGTCAAGGGTGTTAACGGAATATTATGTCCATAGAATAGGTCCATACTCACTTATTATTATGCAGATCTTGTTCCTTCTCATACTGAACACGCAATTCCTCTTGCTTCTTCTTGTAAGCCTCAGCCTGTTGCTCAGCCATCCATACCTAATCGTAATAAAAGCTATTTTACTTTCCACCGTAGATATGGGCAGAAATTAAGATGGCAGCCGAGAGGTTAGTCGTAGAAGTACGTACCCGCTTGAGATTATCCCTGGAGGCTGGGTGGAAGAATTTCTTGCACATATAATTATTAAAACCCTTCCCCATGTTCGCTGGTTTGGAAACTTCCACTCAAAGTAACAATCTCAGGGTAAACAATAAATCAATGCCTCCACATAACCTTCAATACGTCCAGTAATTCTTTTGCCCCTAATTGAAAAGGAACAGCGTCAAACTAACCTCACGTGACCGCCGCTGCATTTTTACCCTGGACAACATTAGTCAATAAAAATACTGACTTCGCGTACTTTTTTTCTTTTTCCAAAACTTTTCTCCTAAACTGTTTTAAAAAACAATTATCCTTCGCACGTTTATCAATCGTCTGAAAAAATCGCCCTAGAAACATTATAAAGTACAGAGTTTAAAAGTAAAAGGTGACGATTATTAATTTTAATTTCTAATTTGACTAAAATGTAGCTATCAATAACGGCGCGTAACTTTCCTCTCTACGTCCATGCGCGAATACATATTTTGATAAGCAAACCACCCAATAGATGGAGCTTAACTCAACCCAGCATGCATTGCGATTTAATCTCGGTATAATGATTCAAGGAGGGAAATTCAAAAGTAACCGCTATGATTCAATTGATAAGACTTGAGAAGTTACTCCTTACTGGAGGATGACTTCTTTTTAAATATTCATAATTTTAATGTATTAGATATTCTAATAATCACTCAATTTTAGGTAATAAAATTTCACTTTGTTTCTTCACTCATCTGTTAGTCCTTGGCACGTGATGACATTGTAATCTTGACATCGTATGGAAAGGCGGCGATTAGCAATCAATACGTTTATAATTAATGGTTAAGGAATAACTCACACCATTGTTCACAATCTAAGTCTTGAGCACTACCAGTGAATGACTTAGATTACATAATCTCCTTCTTGCTATCTACGGAGAATCATCGGGACTAAATAATTTCCTCGAAACCACCTGTGAAGAATCAAGTACATTAATAAATTTTTAGTACTATAGCAAATAATACAAGTTTGCACATTTCTTTTCACATCACAGAAAGTCACACATAACCAATGATGTATTCTACTTTTGTTTAATATGTATCTAAATTTATATACATTAGTTCACACAGGATCAAATTTAATACATTGTAATATCGAACATACTTAATACGCACTAATCCTGACCCGCTAAGAACTTAGAAAGGAAATCGGTTGGTTTCTTTTCAACTGTGTCTTTGAAGAGGTACATTATTTGTCCCTTGGTCTTCCACAATTCTGTTGTCTCTCGCAGTTCCATCTGTCCCTAAATAGATAAAAATATCTTTCATTATTTAATAGTGAACCTTGCCTCAATATTTTTCCATCCAAGATTGTTTATAATAATTTACCTTGACGATCAACATATCAATAACTCGAATGTCCGTTAAATTTCTATGTTTTATGAACTCTTCCCGAAGTTTAGCTTTACATTGATCCACGGTCCTAGGAATATCGAATTCCCATACTAGAACATAATAGTAAATAGCTGTGACGTGCAAAGACTCTACAATACGCATTAAATACTTATAGTAAATAATTGATTTTTAAGGTCATACCCTGTACAGGTAATCAAAGAAATTTTGATTACCAAATTCCTTGTTAACCTAGTTACTCTTTTAAGATAGTTTCTTGATAGAAATTGATTGAACAGAGATCAGGAGTGATTTATGAGGTTGATGCTATCAATTTTTCCAGAATGTAACGAAGAGAGGAAGTTTCAATCACAAATACAATTTTAAGTTGCAATCAGTTTGAGGTTAGAGATGGTTACATACCAATGATAGGGATTTGGCGATACCAAGCTTTGTACAATTTTAGAACCTGTCTACGGGCGTCAGATTTATCTAGTGATAAAATCGGTCTAACTTGACGCGTGGTACTTTTAATCACACTGGCCATTCTGAGATTTTTCTTATTCGCATTCACAAATACCAAAAATGTAGTCTGCTATTTTTCTGCTACCAATGAATATCAAGTGTACTAAAAGAGCTCAACGGTATGTTACAATGTGTTCATTAAAAAACAGTGCCATCTAGTGGACGAACTGTCCACTAAATGCACGAAAAATCAATTCAAATGATCGGCAACGTTAACCAGAGCGTTTATTACGTATTTTTTACGAGAGCGCTCACTTTTTGCACTTTCGTCTCACGTGGGTTTATTCGAAGAATTACGTAATCGCTATATGAATGGTCTCGCATTTTCACCACGAAAAATGTTCCGTAATACCATAAGCTACTCATTTTTCACATTTTCGCTCAATTTGCTTTACGTAATAAACCCCCTGCGTTAACCTTCATATTTGTTCAGGTTTATGATATGATACATAATATTCAGACCCGGTCAAACCTCATAAAATGGGAAAATCCAATTATATGGCAATAAGAACACACGATAACAAGAAACTGTACGTTTAAATCATCGAGCCACCTAGCCGTGATTATTCATTTTCTGACTTGTTAGATTCTTTGTTTCCAAGTAAATACTTAAATGACATACAATGTCTGCGAGAATTCTTAGAAACAAGACAATAAGTCGTTTACTTGGAAATGTATTTTTAAAACATCATCCATCAGTTGTTAACGTTAATCATGTAAGTATTAAGAAGTTGTATACAGCACGCTTAAGCATTGTAATTCTGTGAGCAAACATTGTCATTGAAATCGATGCGTTCATTTATTAGGTAATTGCAGCAAATAATTCCTCAATGGCAGTATGTGGTCAAGAAAAGCCTGTAACAAAAAACATTGGAGTGGATTTAGAAAAGTCTGGTTCATCCGTTAATGAATTTGTCAATAGAACGCACACGTGTGGGGAATTAAAAGCTGATGATGTCGGACGAATAGTCCGGCTTAATGGGTGGATGGAATTTCATCGAATGGGAAAGTTCATAATATTGAGAGATGCTTATGGCTCAACGCAACTTCTAATACCTGATAATGTAGGTGCATTGTATAATTAACAAATGTGATAATTATATAAACATATGGTTGTACAGAATTTTACCAGCATACTTATAATCATAAAAATTAAAAGGTGAAAACTAGAAACATACTATTTGATGCCGAGTATAATTTTGACATGATGTTTCAGCGAGAGGATCTCTCTGCAATTATACAGAATTTATCTTATGAAAGCGTACTCAGCATAATTGGAACGGTTGCAGAAAGACCGGAGAAACAAAAGAATAAAAAGATGACAACGGGTGACATCGAGGTCCTTGTAGAATCATTGGAAGTTATAAATCAAGCTTTGCCTCAACTTCCTGTATCCCTAAGACAATTTAATAAGTCAAAAGAAGCGATTCAGATGCAATACCGGTACATAGCACTTCGATATCCAGAAGTGCAAAGAAATTTGAGACTGAGGTCACAAGTCATAATGAGGATGAGAGAATACCTTATTCACAGCAATTTTGTGGATATCGAGACACCGACTCTCTTTGGTAGAACTCCTGGAGTGAGTGTCCTATTGATTAAAGGCTGTTACATCAATGGATACTAAATATAATTTTTCCTCCAGTGTGATAAGAATTAATTTCATGTTTAGGGAGCACAGGAGTTTGTAGTACCAACGCGGCAACCCGGGAAATTTTATTCTCTTACACAGAGTCCACAGCAATTGAAACAATTGTTAATGATAGGTGGATTCGATAAGTATTTTCAAGTGGCGAGGTGTTACCGAGACGAAGGGAGCAGATCCGACAGGCAACCTGAGTTTACACAGGTACAGTTGATACTGTAATTATTTACTGTTAATACTATATTAAATTAGAAATAATGAACAATGTAACTTTTAATGGCTACAGCTGGATATTGAAATGTCATTCGTCAATCGTGATGGAGTACTCAACATGACAGAAAATTTATTACAACGAAGCTGGCCAGAAGAATTAGGATGCGCAGAAATACCATTTAAGAGAATAACATATAAAGACTCAATGGAACTGTATGGAACTGACGCGCCTGATTTGAGGATACCATTTGAGGTGAACTTTAAATTATTATTTGCAATACCTAAAAATTATTGAATGTTTCAATAATGTGTCTATTTTCTAGATGAAAAATGTTACAGACTTAATCGAGCTCTCTGATGATCTGTCAGCGAAACTTGATCCTATCTCAAGGGAAACATTTGGAGCATACGCAATAGTCTTTCCGAATAAACATGTAAAAGATTTTATTTTAATCAAGAATTGATTACCATTTGATATACCAATCATGATTAATATGGATTTCAGGAGACCTTTACGAATTCATGCAAGCAGCAATTTAGTGAAATATCAAGATCTCTATTCAATGGTGTAAGATTATTGCAGATAAAAGCGATAGGAAGTTTATGGACATCGAAGTTGAGTGAATTGTTTTCCCCTAATTCTGTAGGAAAGCTTCAAGAAACATTGAAATTAAAAACCGGAGACGTCTTGTTTCTGGCATTTGGTCGAAAAGTAGACGCAGTGAGTATAAAACCATTCAAATTTCCTCATTATTGAAATTTTCCATTTTACTGGCACAATTATTTCTATTAATTTTCTCATATATATGAAATGTATTGATTTAAAAAAATCCCCTATAAATCTTTCTGGCGTTTAATCTTCAGAATGGATTAATTGGAAAGTTACGAGTAACCTTTACGAACATCCTGGAGTCTAAAGGAAAGAAAATAAGATCTGAAGGATACCATTTTGCATGGATCGTAGACTTTCCCTTATTCTCTATTGCGGAAGCAACAGGAAAACTTGAATCGACTCATCATCCTTTTACGCAGCCACATCCTGACGACCTGCATAACCTCGAAAAGGATCCCTTAAACGTAACTTAACGGAAAACACTGAACCTTTCTAAAGAATATTTCAACTTGACCTAAAATAGTAAAGACAGAATCATGTTTGACAGGTTCGCAGTCTGAGTTATGATCTCGTATTGAATGGCAGTGAGGTCGGTGGTGGATCAATTCGAATTCACGACACAGAATTGCAGACCAAAGTTCTCAGTATGCTAAACATCGATGAGTCAAAGCTTTCGTACTTCCTCCATGCTCTTTCGAGTGGTGCACCTCCCCATGGTGGAATAGCACTTGGTAATTATTACTCACTCATCATCATTTCAAGTGTGATTATCTTAAAAAAAGCATTCATTAATTAAAATCAATGCGTCCAAATTTTAGGCTTGGACCGTTACATGTCAATATTATGCGATGCACCAAGTATACGAGATGTAATTGCTTTCCCAAAAACTGTGGAAGGGCGCGACATGATGACAGAAGCGCCACATTTAATCTCCGACGAGGAAAAGGAATTTTATTATATAAAAACATTAGAGAAATAAACGAAAAACATAAATAATTACGTCTTCCTGATTGTATGAATTTCATTCATCTTAAGGGCTGTCGTGTATGAGCTGTTGCATGTGTAGTGTTATGAAAAAAACGAAAAAAGAAGAAAGAAAGAAAAATAGACACGTTCGAAAGGCTTTACAAAATAAACTTATTTTATTCACAATTCAATTTCGAACGGCCATCTAGACATCGTACATAAAAATAAAAATACCATTTGTCGTGCATCTTAAGTTAGTAATCGAATGACTTTTCTGCGGTACGTTAAGAAAAAAAAAGTCTAATTGTCACATTCAGTTCTTGAAGAAATTCCAAGTACGGCGACACACGTGTTTGTTTCTTGTTTATAAAAGGAGAACGAGATTTCCTCGATTGTGAACACAGCCCGGACTTATCGGAAAACTCTGTAGAGTTTCGCGCCAAATACATATAAAAGCCATGGGCGTTGTATCTTAACGAAGGGAAAGAAAACCCAAGTAATACAGCTCGAGTGAAAGATTTTAGGAATGACCTCCGAAATACGGTGAAAATGCATCTCAATTTAATAAGATTCCACTAGATAGCACCTGGCTAACATAATTATTATACGTATACAAGTTCGACTGTAATGACGTAAAAGATACTTAAATATTTAAGCTGCTATTAAAATGCCAAATTTTCACTTTTTATCAGCTTTAGTTTCCAATCCTGTTAATTAAAGGCATGTAAAGAAGCACTCAAAAGTACATTTACATGCCAGCATTATATTCCTAAGTTTTGTTACTGGAACGATGAACAGCGAATAGATCGAAGATGATTAAAGTTATCTTCCCTGCGCATGCATTGGAAAGGATAATTGAATAAACATTCAATTGTACGCCTTTCAGCCATGACTTTTGGCACTACGAATGCAGAATGAATTAATAAATGCTGGAAAACATAATTCTCATAAGTACGAATGCTATCGATAATGCTGAAAAGTAATCAAAATAGGAAATTATAATAATTTGATTAATATCAGTTAATCTCTATTGCAAAGAAGTACACACCTATTGTCAATTTACCGAGTTTCACAGATTTCTAGTAATTGCTGTAACTAAAACCTCGTCGAGGTCTAAATACCAATTAATTCTAGTATTGGAGCTTGGGAATACCGAAGACATAAATAAAGTTCGGATAGTTAAATAATGCGTCTGTATTTAAAATAAAAGTTTCCGCTATACTTGACCACGATTTACACGTCGCTTAAATATTTAAACCTTCTCTTAAATCATTCATACAACCAAATTTTATCGCGCTTACAAAATACGTATAATACAATGTATACCTATACCAGGTGGACATTTGTCAATTTCTTTTAAACCTAATCTGTTACTTACTTTTATATAAAATATTTATTTCGCCAGCGGTATTACTTGGGAATTAAAAAGGAACAGTTTGCCCCAGGACTACGTCTACTGGATGCAACGGTCATTACTCCCAAATTTACAAAAAGAAAGAGGAAAAAATGGAGAAAACAACGAGGAAGAAACAGTTTTTTTTGTAAACAATTTCACTGGCCGGAGCACATTGTAACTCAACTTAAGAGTCGCTTAATCGACCGATCAAATTTTAACAACTGGATAGTCCTCGAAGAGTGCTTTTGTGCTTCGACCAAAGAAATATAATCCATTAAAAAGTATTATCGAGACAGAAGAAGTCAAAGTGTACAGAAGTGTAAAGAACTCCCTCTTGAAGGTGGCAATCCTATTTAGAAAGGTAGCACGGAGTCTAATTCGAATCGACCAGAGCCTTTCGTAACTTGTCTCCAAAGCAAAAAAACCTTTTCACATGTACTTTTACAAAGGACATGGATGTCATGGGTCGTATTGGCCTTCGAAGCAAAGATACGATGTCACATTTCCTTATCCTAAACTTCTTAACATTCTAAATCTATTAGCTTCTATAATTTAAGGAGAGACGGGTATCTAGTCTTACTTGTCAACAAAGAGGAGGTTACACCGAATAAACAATATTTCTTCAGAGAAATTTAGTCGTAAAAATTTTACTTGTCAAATTTCCAAAGTCCTAGCAGAAATTATAAGTATAAAAATCAACTGAGTTAGTTTTTTGACACGGAGCATCCTCGTCTCTCCTGGACAGACAGCCTCGATTCACTACGAGAGCTTTGACAGCGCTTACTGTTTGACTTCGAAGACAACGACAGAGGTATATAATAATGTATACCGACTAAAAGGATTTTAGACTTCGAGACAGAGTTATATCCTACCATCAAGTTTACCATGGACCGAACTAACTAATGCCCTGAAGGATTCGCAGGTGTTCGAACAAAGAAAGCGGAACGTTCGACAGGTTGTGGTTGTTTTAAAGGCGAAGAAACGAGAGCTTAAAGCCATTTAAAGTGCATTAAACGCGAGATTAGCCTGGCAGTATGTCGTTCAACGACACGTTCACACGACGCACTGAATATACCTTTCCTCGAGGAAGCATAAGGTTATCTTCGCTACGACACAGCACTTTCGAAGTCAGGAAAGAGCGCAACGTTGAAGGTCCATTCGAGTCTTACTCCGAGACGAGATTTCAAACACTAGGGCTCTTACTACGATGACACTTTGTTACTCCTAAAACATGGAATTACATTAAGTGTTTGAGATCAAGAGGTTCCATAGAAAAATGGATTAATTACTTCGTTAACGCGAGTTTCGTATCGAAATCTTCTCAATTTCTTAATAATAATTAACGCAGGCCAAATATATCTCACGATTTCAAAGCGCCGGCCTGGATGGAGTCGAGACTCGATGCGGCGCTGATCCTAATCTCGAAAAGCCCTTCTCGAGGTGACACAGAGAAGAGAAAAAATTCTCCGTTCAAAAACCAATTCCATGAGATTGTTACGCTATTTCTGCCGGTTACATTCCAGAACCGTGCCAACTGTCAACTTGTAGATTACAAAACAAGTATACAATAACAAAACTGTATGACGTTCCGTTTCACAATTTTCACACCGATGTCATCAATTGCTTCAACGTTCACTGGCTTTACAGTATGTCTGAGTCTAGAATGTAATCACAGCCTGCCGTAACAACTCTTGAAACTGCCGAGACTTTTCCTGTCTTCTCTTTGCATGCGCATACAATGAAGATCCATCGTTCAATCGAGTCGAATTCTCTGACTTTGGTTTCTCTCGACGCAGCTCTCCGGTGAATTGTGTTCACTCACGTACACTCGAGACAAATCTCTAACGAGGTCTTCCACACCGCCAAGTTTACACCTGTCATTTTGACACTTCGACGTTTGACATTAGCCTTCCGGCAAGTCCGTTTACTCGGGTACACTTTCGATTATACGCTTGTTGCCGTTATAAAAAATACTATTTTACAGTGGCACTCTTACGCACTCACATTCGTACACCGACATACATCGGACATCAAGGACACGTCCATCGCACGCATGCTCTTACGTGTTTTTTTTCCTTTTCTTTTCTTCTGACAAAAAAGAACCACATTGTTGTCTTAACATTATATAAGGATTATCGTTATCAACGTTAAAAACCTAATGGAAATAATTACGTGTCATATTTACAACAAACGACGATGCATAGTTATGCTCCGAACCCTTTTCTGCATCCGACAGAAAGCATTGTACCGAATGACATTAATCGTTCACTGTGTTTCAAATTGAATACCAGAGGATTCGGCCCCTTAAGTTCTCCAAGTTAAACGTCGGACCTATAAATTCCTAAACCGAATGAAAAAACCCATCTAATAAAAACCATCTTATCCTACTCCAATAGTTCCCTTAACGGTCCTCAGTTGAAACATCAAGAGAGCGTCATCACTTGGATCCTGTCAAGCGCAAAGATTCGGTTGCAGTTAATGACAACTAGCAATCGACGTCGCATAAAGAAAAAAATGAAAAAGAAAAAGGATAGGTTGCCAAGTCAGTTTGATGACAACTTCTGTTAATGGAACAAAGACTGACATTACATGGCTGACATCTTAAGCATTCCTCGAATTCTATTTGTTGAATTCAGATGCACTCTGTGACAGAAGATGAGCAGTTTGAAACAGTGCAAAGACTTTGCCCTACATTCGAGTGTGTCTGAATCTAAGACAGCGCTGCAATACAAAAAAAAAATTCAAAAAGTTTCCAAAGAATGATCAGACTCGAGCCATGTACTTGGTTATCTCTTGGAGTTAATATGCAGAAATTAAAAGTATTCCATGTACTCGAAATGAAGCGACATAAAGTACTAGTATTAAAATGCTAAACGCAGGTACAGGAGGAGACTATGTACACGGGACGATATATCCGAAATACTAGCGAGATATACTTCGTAGCGTGCAACATACGAGACTGCCTCGCTACTGTCGCGAGTTCCGTTCGTGTAGATGGTCGCGTTCATCGCGCCATGAAATAATGACATGACATTATAAAGAGTCCACCGAAGCAAATTCCCAGTGGAGCGTTATCTGATGCAAAGTACAAATGTTAAACTGATACAATAGCACTGGACAGGTGAGGCAGGCAACCTTCATTTTCACTTAGCACTACGGGATGTCCTAGCCAATGTCTTGCACACTTGCAATCCTTTCGGCATGGATTCTCAAACCTCATCATAGGAAGATAAATTGATATGCGAGTTGACCAGTTATACGCGATCTGCACAGTTCATGTGAACATTTCTCACCATGTTGGATATATTCACATTGGGTTATTGGAATTCAATACCGATGAACATGGGTTTAGTACCTTCGATGACTGTTCCGACAGGCCATTTGAAACAAAGTTGAATTCCAAATGAAGGCCCACTTCAACGATCCTTTTAGTTATTCCAATTCTTGGAATATAATCCAGACGTGAATACATCCTTAATGACTCGGTGTACAGTGAGACTCATGAAAGAAACATCTTCGGTGTAAATAAAAGACTTGAACTTGTTCAAGCGCTACCATGCCTTTCAATCTTAATACGTGATGGAAAGTATCAAGTAATGTCATTATCGTTCAGATCGGAATATCAGGGATACCGTTAATTAGGATGAATTCTCATCCTAGCCGAAGTGAATCATGCCTAAGCCTTGTCTCTTTGAATCGATAGTACACACATGTTTACATTTCTGGCATCCCTAGATGAATCTCATTATCCTCGGAGTAGAATGCCAGCATGTCATTATCGGGTGAACATCAAGACATCGCCTATGTTCGTTTCCGCCTCACATCAAAGTGCATTCCAATCGATGCCTCTTCCATTTGCAGGTTTGCTAATGTACTTAGTTTTAAATGCAACGTTTTTTCTTTAAATAGAGACAATGCCAACGGCCGCACCGAAGTCGTTTCGCCGTGCACGATCCTCGCTGTCCATTCTCGACTTCCTTCCTCATTGTGTATCACCAAAGACCGGTCATTGGTTCCTTTACGCCGTGTCCTCCACAGTGGGCAGCCAGAAAGCCATATTAGTGCACGCAGATGCCAACATCATATACTTTGGATTAAACTGGATGCACTGAACAGGAGCCGGATGGTCCCCTTTGAGAACGCAGACCTTATACCCAGTATCCGCATACCAGACATGGACACGTCCATCCGTTGAGCCACTAAAGACAAACTGGGAGTCTGGACTAAAGCTCGCCTCGATGGCGATGCCTTTGTTGTTCAGATAACCTGCAAATGTCTGCAGTGGTGTACCATGGAAAGCGTCAACGAGTCGAATGATACTCCCATTAGTGGAAATAAGAATCGTCTTCCCATCTCTGCTAAACTTGAGTCCAGTCCAGTCGCACTCCTTCTCCTGCGACAGCTTGAACGTAACGAACGGCCCCTTGTCGAAGCTCCTCAAGTCGTACAACTTAATACACTCTGAATTGACCCCCGCCGCAAATATCAATCCCTCCGGGTCATACGCAGCCACCGGTCTGCCCGAGACGTTCATAACTCCGTGACAATTTGGAGAGCGCAGATCCCAAAGGCGCAGCGACTTGTCCAACGAGCCCGAGAGAAAGGTATCCTCGATAGGGCTAATGCACAGCGAGACGACCTTTTTCGTGTGTCCTGGAAAGTATCTGATATATTTATTATCGTGCAGACTGAGGTATCGTATGGTATCGTCGACCTTGGTGCTGCTGTGTATGGCAGTGTTCTTGGCATGGGTGAAGTGAATCAGGTCCACTCCGTACTTCTTCGAGTTGACGGTGCGGACCTGCGTGCCCTTCTCGCAGTCGTAGATGACGATTTGATCATCCTCGGAGCAGGATATTAAGGTGTCGCCGCTGGGCGAGAAGTCGATGCTATTGATGCGGTCGGTGTTTTCTCGGAACACTTTCGCCACTTTGAAGCTGCGCACCACGTGGTCGATGAGCTTCATGACGACGAGGGTCAGGTCGAGGTGTCGCGGCGCTCGGCGGAGCCTTGCGCTTTTGAGGTTAGCCCGTCGTCGCGGGCACGAGACGGCTGTCCGAGAGTCCGGGCGGCGCGGCCAGGAAACGGTTCCCCGGTGGAGAAACAAAGGCCGTTGCAGGTACGGCGAGGCTCAGGACTCACGAGGACGATGAAGGGCACCCGCAGGAGGCCGAAGCGAAGAGACGAGGCGCCGGCTCGTGTACGGTCAGGCCATTGGCATCAGAGGTTAAGTCGCGGGCTAATCCGAGCGCGGTGCGGATTCTTTCGACCCGATCGACGAGGCTTGGCGCACCTATGCACGCACGCTCACACAAATCCTACCAACTGTTTAGAAATGGCTGATCGCGACTCAGGGATCAAGCTCCGGGGAAAAACTCGACACTCCGTGGCTTCGGATAAGGCGCTGACGACACGATGCGCGATCGAGGAAGCAATCCCCCCTCCAATCCGATCAGCTGACAAGTGCGCGAGCCGCTCGCATTCTCCGCCGAGGATAGAACGCGTCGCGCGACACAGCCCGTGAGCAATCTCTCAACTCATCTCTAATCCATACGTATGACAAATCACGATTTATTAAGATAACTAAAGAACCTAATTTTCTTCTAATAATGATGTATTCTTTCTTTCGTATGCCATGGAAGTGAGGAAAAACATGTGAAATATTTTTCAATGTTTCTATTTCATTCCAATGGTAGAATAATTATTTTATTCTATATTGCTTGTGGAACGTTCTATTCATACTGACAGATGAGTTTTGATCTGATTGCAGCTCTTGAATCATTTTGTGGACTTCAGTAAATACTATAATTATTGGAGGTTACTTTTAAGAGAGGCGATGACTGGCAAAGAGGAGGAAGCGACTGAAAAACTATTGCCCTGCAGCTTTCAGTTTCATGATTTTGTCCTCCCAGTTGGAGACCTTCAAATCTCGTGTCAAATTATCAAAATGGAAGATAGTTTTTATTTATGGGTTGGCGATTTCAATGAACGAGCTATGAATGACCTGTCGCTAGCTATTATGACGAAGTACGAGGTACAGCCTGTTTCTACGAGACTCATGGGGTCCGTTGCAGATGCTACTTCAACTAATATGGCCCAAAGGTTGGCTAAGAAATATGGAAAACCTGTCTACGTTAGTTTTAATGTGACAACGAACAATTTACTGCTCCCGGGCATTGAAAAGGCGATTCAGGAGCACTTTAAGAATCACCCTGATGTACTGTGCTTCTCGGGATGATTATATTAATAGAACTGGGACATTTTATATGCATAATTGTTACATTTTGATACAATAAAACATGTACTTTTGTATAAGAATATTAATATTAAATGGACCGTAACATGCGACTCATTAAAAATTTTGTCTGAATTCTTCTTGAACTTGGTAATTTCTGATAAAATCATTTAATTTCATTCAATAATTAATAGTTATTAGTTTTCAAATTGGCGGTTTCAAATGATATGCCAAACCGGCATGAGATAAGCAACAACCAATGAACAAAGCGAATTTTCTGCCTTTCCGTTACTGTGGCAAATTCCGTTACTTTATTGGTTACAGCTCCGATCTTAAGCCCCGCGCACGCGCGTCTCGTATGCCGGTTGAAAGGTACGCTTGAAATTTCTGCACATTTTTTCTTAATTTTCGAACCAAGTTAAATGGTTGGATTGAGTATTTTGAAATTTTAATTGCCGGAAAGTAATAGGGTCCGTGTGTAACAGGTGAAAATATATTTTTGCACACGGGAGCAGTGTTTTTGTCGAGAGGGTGGGGGTAACGATTTACAACACGTGCTCGGAACGGCTTCTAACCTCACTTTTGTCATCACCAGGCCGCACCGCGACAAGTGAAATTACGATAAGACCCAGTAGCAACAAGTCGCAAGACAAAGTGGACGATCATTCAACAAGTTCTGGCAAAGTGAAGAGGATCAATGTAAAAGTGCTGTAAACTCTGTAAAAATGTTGATTCAAAATTTACAAGTCTTTTGCAATAGAAACAAGAAATACAAAACCAGGTTCCAACCGTTCCTGGCATTGAAGGTAAAGATAGTGAAATACGTTATAAATGTGAATGATATTAACACAGTTTGGAATCCTCTATTAAAGGGTTTATGTAAGGAATAAAATGAATGATGAGAGATTTCAATTTAATTTTGCCTTTCGTAGGAGTTCAGTAAACGTGATTGCGATGAGGTTCGGGAATTATTATGTGAAATGTTAATGGATCCAAGGTGTGCGATAGATGTAGCATTATGCTTTCCGCAGTTGTTACTAACTCTTCTGACATTAGCGATAAATGGTGAGGGTTCAAAGAATGAAACCGTTGCCAGTTCGGATCTTGCGCATAGATTGAATTGTGTTATCCTGGGAAAAATAATATCCGTTCATCCAGATGTTTTGGGGTAAGTTCCATAGATTTTATATGTAATTGCAGAGCGTGTTCATCATTTAAATCAATGTGATCTTAGATTCACTCTCCGTTACTTCGAAGTAAATCCTGCACCGTTTGAACCAATGGCAGATGATTCTAATATACTTCCTAAAAGACGGAAAACAAGCAACATGACTTTTGCTGTAACTCAAGTGTCCGACTATGATATAGTGGTTGCTTGTCGTAATATCTTACTTGCAGCTACTAATCATTTTAAATACAAGTGGAACTGGTCCAACTTTTACGAATATTTAAAGAACAAAGATGATGAGATCAAGTGGTAAGTTATAAATTATTCCACTAAAATATTAAAGTTTGTATGCTGTGTATTAAATTTTTAAATTATGTTTCTTTTTTCCATTGAATAGGATAGCACTGCAGTGTGTGGGAATTGTCTTGGGTATGTCTGAATCTTTGTGGATCAAGACAGCAGAGCCTTTGATTAAAAATTTGAATGATTTCTCAATCAAGGATAAACAAAGTCGAGTTAATACACTGCTACCAGTTCTTGAAGACATGTCTGATAAAGAACCCGACACAATTCATATTCCATCATCTGTTGTAAGAATAGCTGGCGTTTCGCTACCAGTTTTAAATGGTGGTTCACAAAGGCGTCAGGATTTGATTCCAGTTCCGTCAATGGAAGAGAATCTAAGAGGTTTAGCATTAGCCGTTGCATCCAGAAAATGTGTCTGTTTGCGTGGCGCAGTAGGATGTGGAAAGACTGCGTTAATTGAATATCTGGCAGTGGCCACTGGTCGTGACAGTTCTAACTTTGTGAAAGTTCAACTGGGAGACCAAACCGACTCAAAGATGTTGTTGGGAACGTACAGGTGTACAGACATTCCAGGAGAATTTGTATGGCAGCCTGGTGTACTAACTCAGGCTGTAATGACAGGACAATGGCTACTTTTGGAAGATATTGACAGTGCAGCATTGGACGTAGCAAGTGTCCTAAGCAACTTGATGGAGACTGAAACTCTTTCTGTTCCTGGATATAGAGATACGATATACGTTAAAAGTGGATTTCAGTTATTTATGACTCAACGATTAATTTCATCCGTCACTGGATTTCAGAGGCAAGCAACGGTAGCCACAAATTTGCTAGAGAAGCATTGGTTTTGTGTTAATATGGAGCCATTGACGAGGGAAGAATTAATATCCATAGTTCAGACTCTGTTCCCAGTTTTTCATACGGTGGCATCCAGAATGGTGGATGTCTTTTTGTTATTTTCTATTGGATATCATAATACCGAAGTCTGTGAGAATGAAAACTTGACCATGTGCACAGGCAGACTTACTTCAACAAGAGATTTGATCAAATGGTGCAGCAGATCTGCCACAGATTTTGTGGTATCTTCTCCAGATTCTGGATTAAAGTTACTGCAAGATGCTATTGATATATTTTGCTGTTCGGTGTCAGATCAAGGTATGCTATATTTGACATAGTTATTCAATGTAGGACAATTTTTTTTAATGTACAAAAAAATTAAGAATCTAAGTTGGCACTTAAAAATATGATTAGGGGAATATTAATCGAGATGTTTGTTATCTCCGCACAGTTCAAAGACTGAATCTAGCAATAGCGATTAGCAATAAGCTGGGAATAGTGAAGATGAAAGCAGAGTATTTTTGCAATTTTCATAAACCTTCGGTGAATCTTCTCCCGACAACTTTCATAGCTGGTAGAGCAAAACTCTCTCGTAAGAAATCATTTCGTGCCCAGCTGGATACCGTAAAAATGAGTTATTCATTCACAAGACCATCTGCTTGCATTCTTGAACGCATTACTAGTTGCGTAGCTCAGAAAGAGCCTGTACTATTAGTTGGTGAAACTGGAACTGGGAAGACCAGCTGTATACAGTATTTGGCTCGAAGCACAGGACACAAATTGATTGTAATAAATATGAACCAGCAAAGCGAAAGTGCTGATCTTCTAGGAGGATATAAACCAGTCGATTTTAAATTTTTAATAACTCCTATAAGAGAAGAATTCGAGATTCTGTTTCGATCATACTTCGCAATTGAGCCCAATCAAAAATTCCTTGAACACATTGCTACGTGCTATAAGCTGGGCAAATGGAAAACTTTAGTCAAATTAATGATCCACAGCACATTGGCTGCAGTAAAACGACTGAATCGAGAGAAACGAAGCACAAAGAATATTTCGGAAATGTTGAAGAAATGGCAAAAGTTGTCTTTGAAATTAGAGAAGCTATCGTTACAGACAAAAAGCCAATATTCATTAGCTTTTGCATTTATAGAGGGAAGCTTAATAAGAGCTCTTCGCGAAGGGTATTGGGTTCTCTTGGATGAGATTAATCTGGCTAATGCAGAAACTCTGGAATGTTTATCTGGACTCTTGGAAGGTTCATCTGGATCGCTGTCACTATTGGAGAGAGGGGACAAAGAATTAATTAAAAGACATCCAGATTTCACAGTCTTCGCTTGTATGAACCCAGCAACCGATGTTGGAAAAAAGGAGTTGCCCGTTGGTCTTCGTAATAGATTTACTGAATTCTATGTCGATGAGTTAACGGAGGAGGTAGACTTACAATTACTTGTCGGATCGTATCTCAGTGAGATGAATCTACCAACATCTAAACAGGAAGCCTTGGTTAAATTTTATTTGAATGTACGGAGAGAAGCAGTTATTTCTCTCTTTGATGGAACCGGTCATAAGCCACATTATAGTTTGAGAACTTTGTGCAGAGCTTTGGGTATCGCTGCTACTAATCCTTGCGGAGCTGTTTTAAGATCCTTGTACGAAGCATTTTGTTTGAGTTTCTTGACGCAGTTAGATCATAATTCGTATCCCATTGTGGATACAATGATTATTCGTGCTATTTTAGACAATAAGACTGCTAAAGCGGTTTTGAGATCTCCGATACCAAAACCAACCCATGAACCGGATGAGGAATACATTAATTTTGAAGGTTATTGGGTTGTACGAGGTAGTGTTGAACCTGAAATACCAGATAATGTGAGTATTAATTTAATTCCTTATTTGTAAACTTGTTAAATGTTAAATTTACGGACTAAAAAAAAATATAAATAATACTTGGCAGTATATATTGACTGAGTCCGTTAGACGAAACTTGAAAGACCTCGTACGAGTGGTATCGATAGGAAAAATGCCAGTCTTATTGCAAGGTGACACTTCCGTGGGAAAGACTAGTTTGATTACATATTTGGCTAAAGCATCTGGTCATGTATGCGTACGAATAAACAATCACGAACATACAGATTTACAAGAATATGTCGGAAATTATGTAGCTGACGAGACAGGCAAACTAGTTTTCAAAGAGGGGATTCTGGTCGAAGCCATGAGGAAAGGTATTTGTTCATAACTAAAGTTAATCTTTTTTTAGCTGATCAGATTTAATCTCTCGGAGTGATATTCTTTTTTCATTTCCTTGCAGGACATTGGATAATTTTGGATGAACTGAATCTGGCTCCTAGTGACGTCCTGGAGGCACTGAACAGAGTACTTGACGATAACAGGGAATTATTTATTCCTGAAACACAGCAGGTCATCAAAGCCCACGGTAACTTTATGTTATTCGCAACTCAGAATCCTCCTGGATTATATGGTGGCCGGAAGGTCCTGTCCAGAGCTTTTCGGAACAGATTTGTCGAGCTCCACTTCGACGAAATCCCGGCGAACGAATTAGAAATTATTTTACATCAACGCTGTCGTATGCCTATTTCATATTGCAAGCAGATTATCGGTGTGATGACAGATCTTCAGATTAGACGTAAAAATACAGCAGCATTTGCTGGAAAGCAAGGATTTATAACACTTCGAGATCTCTTCCGATGGGGTGAAAGGTACAGGCTGGCTCCTGACGTTGGTGAACGTCTCTACGATTGGAGTCAACACTTGGCAGACGAAGGCTACTTGGTTCTTGCTGCCAAAGTGCGAAAAGCAGAAGAAGCTAATGAAATCAGACAAGTGATTAAAAAGCATCTCAAACGAGACGTAGATCCCAATACTTTATTCACTTTGAATGAGAAAACATCGTCCGTAACGAGGAGCATCCTGGAACAAATCTCACAAGGAGAAATTTCGTCTTTCAGTCATATTGTTTGGACTTATCATATGCGAAGAATGGCGGTCTTAGTTTGGAAGTCTTACCAATTCAAGGAGCCTGTTTTACTGGTCGGTGAAACTGGTGGTGGGAAAACAACGATCTGTCAATTGATTGCTGAGATGAGTCGTCGAAAGCTTTACGCAGTAAATTGCCATATGCACACAGAGTCTTCTGATTTTCTTGGCAATTTGAGACCGATAAGAGATCACTCGGATACTGACAGTCAAAAGTTGTTCGAATGGGTCGATGGTCCATTGATAAGCGCTATGCAGAATGGGGACTTGTTTCTGGCAGACGAAATATCGTTAGCAGACGATAGTGTTCTGGAGAGATTAAATTCCTTACTAGGTGCGAACCATTATAATGCTTTATTTATTCTTATTAAATATATAGTTATGTTGTAATTATTACGATTTTCTCACAGAACCTGAACGCAGTCTTCTGTTGACCGAAAAGGGAGTCGATGAAAATAATGGCCAAATTGTTGCGGAGGAAAAGTTTCTTTTCATCGGTACGTTTAATAATAAATTTCATTCTAGAGATGTACCGATCGATTTGTATAGGTGTTTATTAAATTACTTCTTGATACAGGAACCATGAACCCAGGAGGTGATTACGGAAAGAAAGAGTTATCACCAGCACTTAGAAACCGTTTCACTGAGATCTGGTGCGAAGGCTGTATCGAACGAGATGATCTACGAGCCATAATTGAACATAACCTCTGTGCAAATTTAAAAGTTGTAAAAGAATCAGTAGCTGCTAACATGTTAGGTTTTCTTGATTGGCTAACACGCTCTGAAACTGGAAGCAAATTTACCATCAGCGTGAGAGACGTTTTAACTTGGGTGAATTTTATGAATGCTTGCGTTAGTAAGGATAACGCTTGTCCTTTGAGTCTGACCGATGCCTATTTACATGGAGCTTGTCTCACGTACATTGACAGCATAGGATCTGGAGCGACAAGTGCAATAAGGTATGTCTAATTTCATTTAACAATTTGTTTAATCTTGACAATATCGTTTGAAATCCTCCTCACTATGATTATTTATTTCCTGGCATTTTTTTACAGTCCGGCTAAATTAATAACCTTTAAAGAGAATGCCATAAAATTCTTGGAATCCCAAAATGAGACTCTGTCAGAGTCGGAAGATACTTTGCAACGAAGCATGGATATCGATGTATCCTTGGCAAGATCTATGGACGAGTTATTCGGCTTTGCACCATTTTATATTCCAAAAGAGCCCACTGCTATCCAAAGTGCTCCTGCTTTTACTTTTACCGCTCCTACAACAAGATTAAATACTTTGAAGCTTCTACGAGGCTTGCAATTAAAGAAACCAATACTCTTGGAAGGAAGTCCAGGAGTGGGAAAAACGAGCTTGGTTGCAGCATTGGCCAAAGCTTCGGGGAACGTGGTCTGCAGAATTAATTTAAGCGATCAGACGGTTAGTTTCAAAGATATTTTTAAATGTCAAGACGTTTCGACTCGTCTGAATGATCTTGAATTTAATCCGAGCGGAGTTCCGGCTCCATTCTTACGTTTTCCTTTCTACAATAGTCTTTGTTATTATTTAATTATTTAATGATTTAATTTCCCACAGGATGCTTCGGATCTTTTCGGAGCTGACCTTCCTCTAGAAGGTGGTAAAGGTGGTGAATTCGCCTGGAAGGATGGTCCTTTTTTGCGAGCCCTGAGAGCTGGTCAATGGATATTGCTTGACGAATTAAATCTCGCTTCGCAATCGGTTTTGGAGGGTCTAAACGCGTGTCTGGATCATCGAGGAGAGGTCTACATTCCAGAACTAAATAGGACCTTTTCGATTGAGCCTGGAACAAAATTATTTGCTTGTCAGAACCCCTTAAGGCAAGGTGGAGACAGAAGAGGGTTGCCAAGGTCGTTCCTGAACCGATTCACCCAGGTAAGTAGCCTCGTGGAAGTAGAATATCCATTTTCATTTTATTTTATTGGATAGTGTTTCATTCCCCTCATTTTTTTTTCTTCAGGTGTTCATCGATGCCCTGACGGACATCGATTTGAAGTTCATTGCAACCTCGCAGTTTCTGGATTTACCGGTGGATCTGATTTCCAACATGGTGGAGTTTAACTCGAAACTTTCGTCAGAAGCTGGCGTCACTTGGGCTTATCATGGTTCTCCATGGGAAATGAATTTACGCGACATTACACGATGGTGCGAGATAACAGTTAATTCATCTCGGAGGAGATCTAACCAGACCGAAGCATCATACAATCCTGGGGATTCGGTTGAGCTGATTTACGTAGACAGAATGAGAACTGCCGAGGATAAGCAGAAAGTTAGTCGAGGAATCGCCTGTCATTCTTACTATCGTTTTTATATTCATTGTATTGGTATTATTTAACATTTTCGTAGGTCCGAGAGTTGTACTCGGAGATGTTCCCTGCTGGGAAATATCCTCTTCCTCGGAGCCAACCTGTCATATATATTACCAAAGAAAATCTTCATCTTGGAGATGTGACCGTGGCTCGAACAAGTTCTTCCTGCATCGGAGACCATAATTTGTTACTGCTCAGAGATCAGATGGCTACGCTAAGGAGTCTTGCAAAATGTGTGGAGATGAACTGGATGGCTATAGTGGTCAGTGTGTCATTGTTTCTTCTTGCTCTGTAAATTTAGACGAGAAAAAAAAAGAAATCTAATTTATGAACCGATACTCTATTGGACCACTTCATTTGGGGGATTTTTTATTTACATGTTATTCAATGTTAAAGAAATGTATCGCGTTTACAGGTCGGTGGGTCAGGATGCGGTAAGAGCAGCGTCGTCCGCACTTTGGCAGAATTGGCTGGACGAGATCTGAAGTCAATAGTTGTCAATTCAGCGATGGACACGACGGAGATCTTGGGCGGCTTCGAACAGGTAAGTGGAAGCACGTTACCACTTCTTAAGCAGATTTCCACACCGAGAAAAGGAAATTCATTCAGCCAAAGAAATAGTTTCTCTCGGTATGGGGAGAAGTGAGACACGTTTACACGTCTCACGCGTGTCTCTCCTAAATGTGCACACTTTTCCGTCACGTGTTACTTTAAAATCTCTCTTCGGGCCATTGTGTCCCCACGGAAGGCGGACCTTCGCCCCCCCCCCAAAAAAAAAACGAGCACTTTGTACAGCTCGTTCTTAGGAAGAGGCCTTTTGTTTTCGGCACTATTGTTTGAACCCAAGGCTTATACACGCGTATTGTGCGATTATATTGGCGTGCACGTATGTACAAAGGGATGCAAGGACCCTAGCAGAGTGAGTGCTTTCCTAATGGGCTCATTAAGCGAGGGTTTACGAGATAAGTTCTCGGGGAAGAGAAGTCATTTCCTTAAATTTCGTTCTTACCGTCTTAATATCGCCGCATCGTAAAACGTTTCTCTCTCTTTCTTTTTTGTTTTGTTTTTTAATCGCCAAACGAAGACACCGCCTAACAAGGTAGCATGAAAGTGACAAGGGAAATTAATCCTCGGTGTGATAATATTTTATTTGATAGGTACCAGGCTGTGAAACAATTTCCACCACTTTGTGTATATACAGTTCATACAACGGCCACATACAATTAGTCACGATACACCGTTTACGCGATGGTGGTTCTCTCTATATTGAAAATTATAATCGAGTAGTGTTTCTTTCTTCCCCCCTTAAGTATAGTTGATCATCCCCATTACCGTAGTCACCCTTAAAAGCTAATTTCCTCACACCGCTAAAATGATATAGTCCCATTTTAATTATCTGCTTCTTTTATTCGCTTTATTAGCTTTCGATAGTTTTAGGCACAGTTTATTTATATGCTCTTACTTCCCCTCGCTATTAATAACGCTCGTCCTGAGCTAGATATCGAGTTCTTCTTCTTTTTTTTATTAATTGGCACAGGTTGAGTCTCCGTTTCCCTACTACGCGTTAAAAAAGTTTCTCAACGACGAAAATTGACTTTCCAACTGGGATGGCTGATTTTTCTTCTTGTCGTTATTTCCTCCCTTTTTTTTTTGGTTCGTTAGACCATTTAGAAATTCGTTTTATTTGGACATTTTTAGATGTTTCATTGCACCGCGTGAGTTTCGAAATTGCGCAGGGGGAGGTCGGATTTTCCTTTCCTCCTAGGAAAGGCGCATTCACGAAGGGCTCGAATTAATTGATACAATGTAATGTGTACCTTCAATATTCCGTTAATAATTAATATACGATTTTAATGATTAATATTCGATATCTCTGACGGCCCTGCGCTTCGACGAAGCTCACGCGAAAGTGCCTTCCTTAGAGGATCGCGATCGCGATCGTTTTTCGCGTACATATAGATTGTATATAAATGGCGCTAGCCGTTAAGAAATATAAGTACACCTCTAGCTCTGTTCGGACCATAAGGAACTATATATATTGTGTAATTGTTATACCTCGCAATCCTTCGGGACAGTCCGTAGACGGTCACGGGGTAACCGAGGGACTGTCGGGAAGGGCGCTACCACGCTAAAAGGGGGAGTCGGGGATTAGATTTGACTCGATTTATATCGTAATCGAGGGAGATAGCTCGCCCTGACGGTATCTGCGTACTCTCTCGGTGAAATTACGCGGAACTATTATCCTGGACGCGGTTTCGATCGCTTATAACAGGTACAAGTAACGTCGCCGCGCACATCGCGACGCACTGGACGACCTTAAATACTGTTTCGGACCTTTCTGATATTTTTCTTTCTTTCTTTCTTTTTTTTTTCCCCCTCCTTTTTGGAAGTGTAATCGCAAGACGGCGTTTCGAATTTCTCTTTTTTTCTTTTTCTTTTTTTTTCTCACGTTTTCGGTCGATCGAGGTGATGCGTGAATGCGACGTCTGAGGACTTGATATCGCTTATCAAATTTTTTTTTTCTCCGAGCTGGGTGCATCGAATCCTTCGACATTCTACCAGGCGAACGCGGATGCCTTGAGGAAGGTCTTGGCATACGTGAAAGTTCCATTTCAAAGAGGGAAATTAATAAATTGCTTGTAATAGGAAATGTAAAAATGAGGTTTCACGAGTGTCGGGACCTTCCTCGGGGAATCAATATTCTGGGGGATTTATTCGCTGGGTAGATCGCTGCTCGTCGGGCTGATCGGGGATTGCAGGTCGCTCAAGTCCGGAGGAGGTGGCAAGAGAAGACTCGGCCTCCTGGACAGCTCCTCCTCGTAGAGGCTCGTCGCGCTCTTCGTCCTCTGCACCAGACTCCAAGGATCGGGCGGTAGAGGCATCGCGTTGTCCTGTAAGGGAAACCCAGGTCGTTACCAGCCCTTGTACCCTGGTGGGCGCGAATGCCTTCCTTGAGGATGTTCCTTTCCCAGGGTACGACGAGAAGAGAGGAATGAGATCACGCTTCGTTCCCGTAGTTTCGTAAAGATCCCCCCATTGACAGAATCGTTTGGACATTTCGACGCTCCGAAGATATCTTCCATATGGGAGTCGCGATTCCCGTAGATGCTGTTCAAAGAGCGGATCGCTGGTAGGTACAGGCACTTGGATAAAAATCGAACGGCATCGATACCCGTAAAAGGGGTCTGGCTTCTCGGGGAAAGAGCTCATCTCGCGATAGAAGTGGCCTCGGTTACCGTCAACAAGTGCTTCGCCGTCGGCGGAAGTGGTGGTTTCAGAAGCGCCACGTCGTTCAGATCGCAGCTCGTAACACTCGTCGGTAACGGGGGATCCGGAGGCGAGGGCAACCCCATGGGGGCCTCGTAACCTGGGGGTTGAATGCTCTGGACGGGACTGTTCGGAGACGAGCCCAAGATCCATCTGGCGATGCTCTCGCAGCATCCGCAGCACACGTCCGACATGCCCTGCCGCAATCCTCGGTGGAGGGTCAGGAAGAGCGCCGGGTTCACGAAGGCGTGGACGTAGGCGATGTGGAGGGTCACCTGGAATGATAGTTCTCGGTCGTCTCGATTGTCCTCACCCTTTGGAGGGACACTAGGAATTCCTCTATCTTCCCGATCGATTCGCTAGGGTAGAGATGCGCCTCGGCTCACCCCTTAAGGGGTTACGCCACCTTGACCCACCCAAAGATTACGGTTTTTCAAGAATTTTTTAATTTTTTTTTAAGAATCAAATCTTCCTCAATTTTTCGCAATTTTCCTAGTTTCTCAAGCCCCGCTCCTTGGAGGCGCGGAATCCGCCAGGGTACCGACAGTTCTTCTTCCGGGAGATTTCATGAGTTCTTTTCTTTGTGAGCTTGGGGAAATCAGCTGATTTTTCGGGATGTCACCTCGTATCCTGCGTTGTTCCCCATCACCGGATGATAGACCAGGGTGACGAAGAACAAAGGGCCCCAGAAGATGACGTAGGCCGCGGTGATCACCAGGAACATCTTAACTCGCTGCACGCCCTCGCGCTCCACTCTCCTCAGGTAGTTCCTCATCTTACGGTGCTCTTCCAGGGCTCCTCCTCTCTGAATTAACGAGTAACCGTATTATCGGTCATGGGTACGAGTTAAATTAACCGCGGTTTACCTTGGGGGTGCCCCCGTTCCTCGTTGCACCCTCGACTAGTCCGTTGGACCGTCCATGACCTCCCGTAACGTTGACCAGGGTCGTGACCAGACCGGCGACGCGGACCTGAAACGAAATGCAATCAACTTTGTACGATGAATCGAAAGGAGCGAATCGAACAATTTTGGTTAATAAACAACGAGAAACAAACAATTTTGGGCAATTAACCATAATTAGCGAAACAAAGGATTTCCTTTGAGGACTGCATTTTTCTTTTTCTTTCCTCCAAGTGTACGTACAGCCTCGACGTTGGCCTTGGTCAGGTCCCTGTGCAGCTTCCTCAGGTGGAACAGGGTGAGAGCCACGCAGATGACGTTGATGACTATCCAGAGGACGTTTAGGATATAGTGCCTGAAGGGACCGTGGACCAGGGGACAGCTTGGGGCGTTATGGTCCACCTTGGTGTTGGCTGCCAGGGCGCCGCTCAGGAACGTTGGACCGAGGTTGATGGTGATGCTGGCGAACCAGATCATGAAGGTGCCGAAGAAGACGCACTGGAAGTCGAGACCAGGTCGTGGGATGCTCGTAGAAGAAAAGCCACCTCGTATTTGGATAAATGAGGACGAAGGAGGGAGCCAATTCCCACCTGAGGAGAGTCCATCAGCAAAGGGGCGATCATGTCGGCCTCCTCGTCGCTCTCGGGAAAGACGGGACTGTCGTTCAGGACCGTCGTCAGCATGTTCACCGTGGACACCGTAACGAGCAGGAGGAAGGCCGTCTCCACGAGGGAACACTTGTTCACTGCCTGGCAATTCAGGATGCTGGACCCCAGAGGAAGCAGGATCGCTGCTCTCGCGCAGTCGACCAACGCCTGGTGGAACAGCAGCCCCTGGGACCACCTTGAAGAAAGAGGATCACATCTCGCGAACAATGCGTAACGACGTCCACGGATAAATGCAGATTAACGCCTCGAGGGCTTGCGATATCCGCGGAATCTCGATATCCTTGGGAATTTTCTGTAGGGACGAGTCCTGCGAGGGGGCGACTCCTCGGCGAGGGTGTCCTGGCATGTGTTCGGTCGCTCGTAAAGCGTTTAGTCTCGCGATGGAGAGGAATTTGTTGTCGATGGCAGCTTCCAGGGTGGGTTTTAGGGCCCGGGTAAACGTAAAAGCGATCCCCTCGGGATGGACCCGTTTGCCGCTGACGGCGTAAAATCTGATCGAGGATCCTCGCCGTCCGTTTTCCTCGACGCGAATCTGAGCCCCGAGGGGTGGGCTAGGGTTTTTTATCTTTACTCGTGATACCATTGTGGAAGGTGGAGGTTGACCTCTATCTAGAGACGGAGACGTACCTTCGGAGTTGTCGCTTAGCCAGGATCAGGCCCATTAGCAGCATGTTAGCTCCCATCCCCAGGGCGCCCAGGCTGAAGATCACCGTCGCTTCTGCGGCTCCTCCTGGGTGGCATTGGAACTTCGTCGTGTTAGATGTCAGGTTCCCGGATGCACCGATCCCGAAACGCAGGTTCGCCCCGATCATTGCCACCGCCGAGCCTGGAAGAGGAGTTGTGTTTTTTATCCTCGGGTCTGCGAGTCTTCGAGACGAGGAAGAGTAGACCACGAGGAGCGGGGAATTTTATTTTAGGCGGGTTTATAGAGATATGGGTTTCCGCAGCGTCTCCGCATCGCGGGTCTCTCCGTTTTCCCGGACTTCAAAGGAACGGGTTAGCCCGCGAAGTCCTGGGAAGGAACGCCTCCTCTTGGGCGAACGAATCCTTCCGAGATATTCCTCCACGGTGGGTCCTCAAGGAAGGGCGACCAGCAAATTCGGTATCGCAGTCTTGCACTCGGAATAATAAATCGGCAAGGAAGGATTTTGTCAATTCAAGGAACAATTGCGCTGGCCGACGTCGATTTGCAATAATTGAAAAAGCCACCTTCGAGGAAGATCCTCCTCGGTGGTCGGATGCTAAGTCTTCTAGGGAGGCTCCTTTGGAGGAATCTGTAATTACAAATTTATTTGACGACCGGGAGGAGTTCCCCTCTATTTATTTATCCCGCTTCTTCGGACTTCGAGGAGGGAACTCGAGTTACGCCAGTAGGGAAAAATCCGCATCCCTAATGAGAGACTTTACTTATACGTGGGGAGGGCTCCTCCAGCTTCCGTTTCCGCTCCTTTGGGGGCTCGAGGACACATATTCCCGGTGTTATAACCAGGTGCGTCAAGCTAGCACGGCAACATCCCAGTACACGATTTCTGAATGCAGAGGAATTATGTGCTGATTATGTGCTAATTTTGTGCTGAATTAATTAATTTTGTACCCCCACCATTTTTCCGAAATTTGAAATTTCAGTGTGGCCGTGCTAGCTTGACGTCAAGCCAGCACGTTCCCATCTCAAACAAGACAAAAAGTTAAAAACAAGTACACCAAATTGAAGGGCAAATTATGTGCTAATTTTGTGCTGTAATCGTT